TTTGGGCCTTGAATCCGTTTGATCCACACAGCCTAAATGAGAATCCAAGGCCCGTAGATAGCAAATTCAATAGCACAAGTGGCACAACTATATACGTGACCTCAATCTAAGCCTTAGGTAAAAATCTAAGCCTTAGGTAGCTAACTAGATTATGACATTTGAGATACAGAAGGAAAAAGCTACACCAACACTAAAGATTCACCCATCACACTATGAGCAAATGACTAGTAGTCTAGACGCATGTTTAAACACAAGAAAGAAATAGGGATAATGGAATGTTCTTTTTAATGGGTGTGATCAATAGACTAATTATACATGTCCAAGTTAACAAATCTTGATGAAGATTTGTAGTGTTGTTGTAGAAGTTGACAAATCACAATGCACGACTGGTGAAAATTTTGAGGAAATGCCAAACCTTGAGCTTCATTGTGAAAAAGAAGAAGCATAAACTCGATTGTATTACGCTTTTGAAAATTTTTAGTTCCAAGATTTATCACACTTTATATTTAAGTTAATGATAAATTTTAATATGTTGGAACTTGAACATGTACGATGCATCTTAGTTGTTTAAGGTTTTAGTACATAGACTTTCCTTGACACAATATAAAGAAACAATTAACGAAAACTTGAGATAATATTTCGTGCGCGAGGTTTTGACTTATGGGTTAGGGTGAATATTGCATACCTGCGAATCCGGTAGACCACAAACGTCTAGATTTGATAAGGTTGCCACGACACTTGTAGTGTTATACATAAATAAAAGAAACCGAAACATATTTTCAAGAACATCAACCGTTCAGAGTGTGACGGAACATGCTTTAGATGATATTTTTCTTATTTTCTATAAATGCTTATAAGTTATAAGTACGACAACACATATATATGGAAAAGCTTTAAGTTTATAAATGGAGTTTAACTTCACTAATTATAATGAAAGAAATGCTATACGACTATATACAACTATTATTGGAAATAATGGCATTGAATTATATTGAATGTGTGGAAACCTAACAACAATTGCAATTAATGATCATGACAAAAAGCACGTAAGTGGGCGGTGTAGGAAAACGGGTGCAAGAAGAAAGTGACAATTTCTTTAATTAATTCATAGATCGAGCTACAGAACCGAAAGCAACCACATGAAATTTATGAAGAAGGCCAAATTTTCTCATATATATATATATATTTCCCCACTTTACTAGTATTATTAAATTTTTACAGCTCATTCAGTCAGGAACTTGGTTGAAAAAGAATTCAATGGTGCCGCAGTTCTTCAAATTCCGTTAATTTTGGAACGGTTAAAAATAATAATGGCAGTGAAAAGGTAACACCAGCTAGCTACCTAGCTAGTAAATGGAATTGCATGCAAGCTAGGTTAGTTTCTGACATGGTAATTAATATTTACTGACGTACGTACCATCAATCTTTCAAATTGATTACTCATGCACGCACTAAAAATTATACTAATCAATTCAATACCGAATTCGTCAGTTAATACTTCCACACCAAGAATTGGATGGAAAACATCTCTTGTCGGTGACGAAACACCTAAAGCCAGCTCATTTACGTTATTGTGCTTATTCACGTCATTTTATGTTCATTCACGTAATACTATGGTGATTTACGTAAGAGTGTAAGTTTTCCACGTAAATGGAAATTCAGACTTTCGCCCCCTAATAATTTGTATCGGCTATATTTTATGGAATTACATTTGGATTATCAATTAAACTGTAAAAAATATGTTGCAATGATCATAATCTACACAATGATCGTGAATAATTAACAATAATATGCGTGAATGAACATCAGGTTGCGTGACCTAACAATATTGGTTGCGTGAATAATCTAGGGATGGCAAAAATATCCGTAACCGTGGATATCCGCCCGAATCCGGCCTAATCGGGTAGGGTAAAACCCGAACCCGAAGGACATTTAGTGGGTACGGGTAAAACCCGAACCCGAATATTGCGAGTAATGGGTGGGCATGGGTTTCTAACTATCCAACCCGAACCCGCCCGATTATACGCATGCATATGTATTTTGTCTAGAAATAATTATTATTTTTCTCTAACATATTTTATATTTAGCATATAAATATAATATTTTCATGAAATTGTGTTGTTTTAGTTAATTTTCTTCATTCTAGTGAACTATTGTCGTACTTTTTTTTTACGTAATGTGAGAATACGTGTGAATATTAACATATTGGTTGGAGTTATGAAGAGAAATTATTATCCATGGATAACCGTGGATACCCGAAACCCGAACGGGTATGGGCATGGTTTTAATTTTCTACCCGTTTCACATGTGGGTATGGGTAAAACCCGAACTACTTTGGGTAGGGTAACGGATATGCACTATCCGTCCCCGACCCGACCCATTGCCATCCCTAGAATAATCAACACTCTTGCGTGAAATAACGCAAATATAACGTGAATGCAACAAATATGGTGCGAATAATCCAAAATCAGGTGTTTTGTCACCCAGTGGCGGACCCAGGATTCTTTGATAGGTGTGTCGGCACGCAAAAAATAATTAATAAATTAAATGTATTAAATAAAAAGTAAAATAAAATATTAATTCATTAAGGTCGTAATTTATTATTTTTTACAGTGACACCCCAACAACTTTTAATATTCAGAAAGGTTTGTAAAATATAATTTGCGCTTATGGTGTGATCAAACTTTTTTCGACGTACAAAAGTAAAAATTCATTCATAAAACTGATTTTGAAGTTCGCTCTTGATTAACCCCATAACATAAAATGGAAAGCAGGAACGCTGGCGACAGGCGTTACGTAAAAGTTTGAAAGAGGATGAGGTTCCACCGGCAGGTGCTAGCAATTAGAGAGTGGAGCAGAGGACAGAGAACTGTGAGCTATGAGTTGTGGATTTTTTCCTCTCGACATTTTCATTAAAAATTAAAATAAATAATATATATTTGTGTATTTTGGTACCTATTGCTATATGACATCAAAATCAATGTATTGTATTAAAGGTGTGTCGATTGCAATTATGTGAGGTGTGTCAGAAATCCCGAATTCAAATTTTTTGTACCAACAAAACATGGATCTCTCACAAAACTTCCGAGCCAAGGTGTGTCGGTTGACACACCTTGCTAATGCATGGGTCCGCCCCTGTTGTCACCTAACGTGAGCACTGAGAAGAGACTTCACTCTTGTTGGATATATCGATCGTAGTAGTCGTAGATCTTCAAGTCCAATAGTCATTTCAAGAGAAGTATATCCTTGTTTACTAATCTGAATACTTCCATCACCATCGATAATTCCAGCTAGCCTCACTCTATAGTACTTATAAGTCTCCCAATGACCTAAAGAAAGAGTGATGCCTAAGTAATGGGTTGTGTATGTACGTGAGAGATGACAAAGACACATATCCATCCCCATGATATGCACATGGATCTAATTAATAATATATATGAATTACAGGTCATCTTCAACGACATTTAAACACAAAAAATAATAACACAACGAACAAAAAAAAGGTACTATTGCTCCCGGCAAACCCACGTTAATTAATTATTAATTACCTCCCACGGTTACATATATAAATAAATAAAAGACACATTTTGCTTGTATTATGCGACGTAATTTTGGGTCAATGGTCACAACCGCAAGAAGTAAGTAGCATCTAAAGCTCTCACCGGCCAACTAATTTCCTCTCAACAAAGTGTATTATTATATGTGAACGAAGACATTATTATTAAGGCGCCGCCGTGATGTAGCTATCTTAATTAGCCATGCTAAAGGCCACGACAGCATTATTATTATTATTATTATTATTATTCAACAATAGATAAGTACGTGGAGAGTGAGAGGGGTTGAGTTGTTGACTATTTATCCATAAAAATTTTAGAATGTGATTATTATATTGTTGATTGTGATGATGAATTAACTGGTCTCAATAACTCGAGTTGTTGAGAGATGTCAATGTATGATATTTAATTATTTATTTACACACCCCACTCAAACGAAAGTCAACTTATGAGTTTGAAGTTTTCACATACCCACCATATATATACCATGTGCTTTAAAGATAGCGATTAATACTGGGGGGTCGTAACTTGTGAGGACTTGAAGATTTGTGCTCATGGACAAACAGGCAATGGATACTATGCAATATAAACCAACTGATCTTAATAACCGGAATTGTTAAAAGAGGTTCATGTATAATACTTAACCACTTACTTACATTGTCGAACTGGAGAAATGGTAACAATTTTATATCCATTTTTTTTGAACGGTTAAATTTACGACATTCCGATATGCTACATACATCACCAAGGAAAAGTTGAAAAAATCCAACCGTGTGTAACAAACACACTTAGTTGTTTCGGTTTATTCATTAAGGACAATTCAACGTTCATACATACTTACCCTAAAACAATCCAAATTTGCCTCCAAATTTCCGTATTAATTACACACAAAAACAAAAGAAGAGGTAGTAGAGGAGATGAAAGAAACTAAACGAGTTACCCGCCGCTTGAACACAATAGCTCACCCACCCCACCTTTGTAGTAATAATACCAACAACAATAGACTCATCAATGTAGATCAGAACCACCCATATTGGTTGCATGCAAGAATTATAAAACCCTAAACCCTATAATCAAATAAAGAAAATCAAAATACATGGTAACACAACCGGTATACTACCGCGCGCGTAGTCCAAGTGATATATGACTGTTGGATCTGCTTCATTGTACGTACTCCGACAAATCAAAATCATCGATTATTAATCTTTCTTTTTGTCAAATTGATATTCGAGTTTGAATATAGTATAATCCGACCCTAGATATTTATACACATCTAGTCAACTTAAAAACAAAGCTACCCATCTCCTTCCTCCCTTCCTTCCCTCCCTTTCAATTCCATTACTTCTCCATAGGCATAGAGAAGAGAAGTAAATAAGCCTATCTGCCCCCTTCTCCCCTTCTCTCTTCCTCCCTCTCATTATAACTCCCAACTTCCCCCTCTCAACTATATTCTCCCTTCCCTTCCACTTCCCTTCTCCACTCTCTCTCTCTCTCTCTCTCTCTACAAACCCATAATTTTCTCTCTCTCTTCAAGCCAGGGAGAATAGCTAGAGATGGAAGGAGGAGGAGAAGAAAAGGAGCAAAACCCTAATCATCATCATCATGATGATGATCACAACAATGCCAATAATAATGATGATAATAATAGTAAGACTAGTAATTACAAGAAGGTTTCGTTTCTCAAGTTGTTCTCGTTTGCCGACTTCTACGACTACGTTCTGATGGGGATTGGATCGGTCGGAGCCATAGTCCACGGCGCGTCGGTGCCGGTGTTCTTCATCTTCTTCGGCAAGCTCATCAACATCATCGGCCTCGCCTATCTCTTCCCCAAGGAAGCCTCCCATCGCGTCGCCAAGGTACGTAATTAAAGCTTAACTCTCTTAATCAAAGTGTTTAATTATCAGCCTTAATCCCTCACTGGAAGTTAATTATAGGGTGCATGACTTGTTTATGTGAGCAATAATATTACTACAATTCAGGTTTATTTTCGGCTTAATTGTTTTTGTTTTTGTGTGTGTAGTACTCGCTGGATTTTTTGTACCTGAGCATAGCCATCATGTTTTCGTCGTGGATAGGTAATTTCTCGAAACTCTTTTTTAACTAATATCGTTTTTGTAACATTTCGGAGTTCGAATTTTTCGTAGTAACTAAACACGGCGGCCGGTGTATAATATGTTAATGTAGAGGTGGCATGTTGGATGCATAGCGGGGAGAGGCAAGCGGCGAAGATGAGGATGGCGTATTTGAAAGCGCTGTTGAATCAAGACATCACCTTATTTGACACTGAAGCTTCTACTGGAGAAGTCATCGCTGCAATTACCTCTGACGTTATTCTGGTCCAAGATGCCCTTTCTGAGAAGGTTTGTTTGTTTTGAGTAAATTGTTTTTTACAGCTCTCCTTTAAAAAAAAAAAAATTTACCCGGCTCTGCGTTCATTAAATTCACCCTTTTTGTCCTCTTTTCACCTTTTTTCCTTATCTTGGTAATTTGATTAATTGTTTTGTTTTGTTTTTTCTTATCTAATTAATAAGAGGTTTTGACTTCTTCAGACCTCGGAAGTAAGATTTTGTGAAAGTCAATTTCACTGATAGAAATGTATTGTTATGATTACTTATGCACTTAGATTAATGACAGGGATTGTTGGAAATGACATTGGTCAAACCTAAGTTGTAAGCTGAGGACACCCGATGGAATAATATAAATTAATATATTGGAAGTCATGGGTTATTAATTAAATATATGTTTCATACTAATCAAACAAGGGAAAAAGGTACCATTGGCAACAAAAAAAAGCGTTATCTTCATTTCAATATTATTTATTTTCTCTTCAAAAATTGGTTAAAACTAGACTTTTCGAGTTGTGTTTCTTTTTTGTAATTCTCGTTCGATTTTATCCACTGCTGATTGTAGCGCACCAAGACGTACATACGTTAACCGATTTTGTAATATAAATAATTTACGCCCTAAATTCGAACCGAACCAGCAATTCACCTTTGAATTAGAGACCTAATTTGAGGAGGTAGGTGAGATGGGTAATCAATAAATGGTGAAATTTGGGGAGAAGGAAAGAAGAAATGGCAAAACAGAAAAAAAGGGTCATGATTCATGAATATATTTATGACGAAAATGGTGGGACTTAGGCCATTTATGAGACGGTTTACTGCTTGGTTCGTTTGCTTCAAAGTTCAACCACCTGCTCTCCTCTCCCTTCAACATTAGTAGCTGTACAATTACAAACATTCATTCACCTTTTCTTTCCCTGCCCCAAGTATTTTTGTGCTATACACAAACACTTCTACCACTACCAATTTATTACATGACTTGACTTTCTTGTGAGGTTTGTTGCATACAGATACAGAAGCATATATACCCTTGATGAAATGAAAATAAGACTTGTCTGAAACAAATTTATTTTTTGGGTGTGTGCCATTTCCTGCAGGTGGGGAACTTCATGCACTATTTTAGCAGATTCGTGTTTGGGTTCATCATAGGGTTTGCCAAGGTGTGGCAGATCAGCTTGGTCACGCTTTCTATAGTGCCATTCATCGCGCTAGCAGGTGGCATCTACGCGTATGTCACCATCGGCCTTCTTGCCAGAGTCCGCAAGTCTTATGTCAAAGCAGGCGAAATCGCAGAAGAGGTAGTAATCTGCAACATCTTCGTCTACTAGAGTTCATGAATTCATAAATCGTATTATCAACGATACCATAAAGGAACACAAAAATAACGATCAAATAATGCTAGAGATACACATATCCCTAACATCCATTATTCATTTCCCACTACAAAAAAAAAAAAAAAAAAACTTGTCAGGTGATTGGCAATGTGAGAACAGTGCAAGCATTTGCAGGAGAGGAAAAGGCAGTAAGATCGTACAGAGATGCTTTGAGCAAAACTTACGAGTATGGAAGGAAAGCAGGACTAGCCAAAGGGCTTGGACTTGGAAGTGTCCACTGCGTGCTCTTCCTTTCGTGGGCTCTGCTCGTCTGGTTCGTCAGCATCGTCGTCCACAAGAACATATCGAACGGTGGCGAGTCCTTCACCACCATGCTCAATGTGGTCATTTCAGGCCTGTAAGTAGTGCTCAGGTTCAATTATTATATATACACTCACTAGAACCAATTCACTAGCTTACAACATTTTACCTCAAATTATCTATCCACTGCTTATCTTATTTAATTACCTGTTTCATGCTTTTTGCCAAAAAGATCACTGGGACAGGCAGCTCCAGACATCACAGCATTCATCAGGGCGAAAGCAGCAGCAGGTCCTATATTCCAGATGATAGAGAGGCACACTGTGAGCAGAACCAACTCCAAAACAGGCAAAAGATTAAACAAGCTTGAAGGTCACATCCAATTCAAGGACGTCTCATTTCGATACCCTTCTCGCCCTGATGTAACCATCTTCGACAAGCTCCGCCTCAACATACCCGCTGGCAAGATTGTGGCTCTCGTCGGAGGGAGTGGTTCTGGGAAGAGCACGATCGTGTCACTAATCGAACGATTTTACGAGCCAGAGTCTGGGCAGATTCTGATTGACGGGGTCGATATTAAGGATTTCGATCTCAAGTGGCTGAGGCAGCAGATTGGTCTGGTGAATCAGGAACCTGCATTGTTTGCCACCAGCATCAAGAAAAATATTCTGTATGGGAAAGATGATGCCACAATGGAAGAGATCACTCACGCTGCTAAGCTGGCTGAAGCTTCTTCTTTCATCAACAACCTGCCTGATAGATTCGAAACTCAGGTACTTATTTGCATACAAGCAAAAAAAGAATTGGCCTGTGCTACAGGGTAAAACTGTCTGGTTGTAATGCTGTTGATGTTTTGGCTTTTTGGCAGGTCGGGGAGAGAGGAATCCAGCTATCAGGCGGGCAGAAGCAGAGGATAGCAATATCTCGTGCAATAGTGAAGAACCCATCAATTCTATTGCTCGATGAAGCTACAAGTGCACTTGATGCGGAGTCGGAGAAAAGCGTGCAGGAGGCACTCGATCGAGCCATGGTTGGAAGGACAACTGTTGTTGTAGCACATCGGCTTTCCACCATTAGGAATGCCGATATGATTGCTGTTGTTCAAGGAGGAAAGATTGTGGAAATTGGCAGCCATGAAGATCTCATTGCAGACTCAAATAGTGCATATGCGTCACTTGTCCACCTTCAAGAAGCTGCATCAAACCAACGCCACCCATCTTCAGGTCCCACAATGGAACATCAGCTGAGGTAACCATATAGATGACTTCTGGCCTGATAGTAATGGACAATTAGTAATAACATTTTATCAAGCGAGTTATAGGTACTCAAATCTGAAGGCATTATGTGGATGATTGTAATTCTAGCTACCTTGACAACAGAAGATGCTAAAAACCCAGCCAAATGAAAAAACATATGAAGAGTCATGTTATATGCACTGATGTGTCTCTTCCTGTCCTTTGTCTGGTCTCTGCCAGCGGAAAGCACTCTCAAGAGCTATCCCGCACCAGATCAAACTTAGGAGCAAGCTTCCGTTCTGATAAGGATTCTGTCATCAGTCGGGCAGGCTTGGACGGTGCAGAACCGGCCAAGCCATCTACTGTTTCCATGAGAAGGCTGTATGCCATGGTTGCTCCTGATTGGATCTATGGAGTCTCTGGCACCATAGGCGCCTTCTTTGCTGGAGCACAGATGCCGCTTTTCGCACTCGGTGTGTCTCAGGCGCTTGTGTCCTACTACATGGACTGGGACACAACTCGCCATGAGGTCAAGAGGATAGCAATCCTCTTCAGCATTGCTTCAGTGTTGACAGTTATTGCTCATGCTGTTGCACATCTGTCGTTCGGGATCATGGGAGAGAGACTTACATTCCGAGTCAGAGAAAAGATGTTCTCTGGTAAAGTTTGTGGCTTTAAGTAGCATGGATTTGCATGCCATAACTACAACACTATCCTCACTCTCCTCCGTACTATTTGCTTTGCAGCCATCTTGCAGAATGAAATAGGATGGTTCGACGACTTGAACAACAACAGCTCGATGCTGGCATCACGTCTCGCGACCGATGCAACTCTGCTGAAAACAATAGTAGTCGATCGCTCCACCATTCTCTTGCAGAACCTCGGTTTGGTGGTTACATCATTCGTCATTGCATTCATCCTGAATTGGAGAATCACTCTTGTTGTGTTAGCTACATATCCACTCATCATTAGCGGGCACATCAGCGAGGTAGTATCCGTTTTCCTTTTTTGCACCCCTCGGATTTTAAGAAGTAAAAACTACTTGCAGATATTCAATTAGCTAACCAATGTGGGAAATCAGAAACTGTTCATGCAAGGTTATGGTGGCAACTTGAGCAAAGTGTACCTGAAAGCCAACATGCTAGCTGCTGAGGCCGTAAGCAACATACGAACAGTCGCGGCATTCTGTGCGGAAGACAAGATCCTTGATCTTTATGGGCACGAGCTAGTGGAACCTTCCAAGCGTTCGTTCGCACGTGGACAGATTGCAGGGATATGCTATGGGATATCCCAGTTCTTCATTTTCTCGTGCTATGGACTCGCTCTATGGTATGTGTGTGTGGCTCTCCTTAGATTTCAGCCTCAAAATATTTAGTAACATTATGCCTCTGAACATAATACCAATTTGATCATCAAACTTGGCCACATATATCATATTGAGACTAAAACTCGATATTAAGATAAATAAAGCACCGAACTAGCTCTGATAGCTCACCGTTAGCATTTTTGTCTCGGCTGTCATACCCCTGCTAGTTGTCGCCATTATGTTGTTGATTGGTAGCCACCAACAAAGTATGCTTCTGGTGATTCATTAGGACAAGTTAGGTGCTTTAGATGTTTTGACACCAAGTTCAGTAACCAATACGAGAAGGACTCTGGTGACCAAAAAAGAATAATGAATGACTCTTGCCTTGACTTTTGTAGGTATGGTTCTACTCTTATGGAGAAGGAGCTCGCTAGCTTTAAGTCCGTCATGAAGTCATTCATGGTTCTGATTGTAACAGCACTAGCCATGGGCGAAACTCTTGCATTAGCTCCAGATCTTCTGAAAGGGAACCAGATGGCTGCATCGGTCTTCGAGGTTTTGGATCGGAAATCACAGATGAGTGGAGATGCCGGGGAAGAGTTGAAGAATGTAGAGGGTAAGGTTGAGTTGAAGAACGTCTGTTTCAGCTATCCAGCAAGGCCAGAAGTCGCCATTTTCAAGGACTTCAATCTGCAAGTGCATTTGGGCAAAAGTGTGGCTTTAGTAGGACAAAGTGGATCTGGAAAAAGTTCTGTTCTTGCACTCATTCTCCGATTTTATGATCCAACATCAGGCAGAGTGATGATTGATGGTGAGTGTTCTTCCTTTTTGGTCCTTCTAATTATAATTCGTCTTATAGAGACATATAATTATGATATAATCCATAATAATGTGCATAGATGAATCATCATAGAGTTGAGTAGTTGTATAAAAAATGACTTCAGTGGCAAACTTAAATTGTGAAGTCAAGTTCACCAACCAATGTTGTATTTACCTCGGATTGACATCATCTTGAAAACGTTTCAACAGGGAAAGACATCAAGAAACTGCAATTGAGATCGCTCCGTAGGCACATCGGCCTAGTCCAGCAAGAGCCAGCTCTCTTTGCAACATCTATCTATGAAAACATACTGTATGGCAGAGAAGGGGCCACCGAAGGAGAAGTAATCGAAGCAGCTAAACTCGCCAATGCACATAGCTTCATCAGCGCCCTTCCTCAGGGCTACTCCACCAAAGTAGGTGAACGAGGGGTGCAACTATCTGGCGGCCAGAAGCAAAGGGTAGCAATTGCTCGGGCAGTGCTGAAGAACCCAGAAATTCTTCTGCTAGATGAAGCCACCAGCGCTTTGGATGCAGAGTCAGAGCACATTGTGCAACAAGCACTGGATAGATTGATGAGGAACCGTACGACGGTGATGGTGGCCCACAGACTGTCAACTATAAAGAATGCAGATCAGATATCAGTCATACAAGATGGAAGAATAATCGAACAGGGGACTCATTCGAGTCTTGTACAGAAGAGAGAAGGAGCATATTTTAAGCTAATCAACCTTCAACAGGAGCAACAAAAGGGAGCACTAACATGATTTTTTAAGAAGACTACATATTGCAGTCATAGGATACATGTTCATTTTTCTGCATCCCATAGATGTTCTGTCCATTTTTTATGTTTGATCTTGGCGTTCTGACTTTGGCTTTGTGATGTATAATAGAGACATATGTGATTACTAATATTGAGAGTGTGGAAGCAATGAATAATAGTGAAGCAATTCTTGAAAAGCGGCTATTTTTAGATCATAAACCTACAGACACAAAAAGCCAATGAGATACAAGTTTTGACAGCATAATGCCAGAAAACATTTGAAAAATTAGTTTGCAATTTCAAACAACAAAGACTAGAGTAATGGACTACCAAACACTTATTCATCCATTCACATTACTCATATAAGTCCAGGACCACCATTAAAGCCACATTAACAGGCCTAGCACAAGTACCTGTGAGCTTTTCAAACATTCAAATGACATCAGATAGAAACTGTCAAGTGTCACCCCGTAGCAACCCCTGTTTTTACCAGCCACGACTGTGCTATGAGTCATGAACTAGATACATCAATGCAATTTAGGAGAGAGATGCGGATCTACCAATGCCTTCACATAGTAGGATAGAGTTCCGGAAGAAATACATATCCACAGCAACCCCTGCAAAAGATTATGTTGAGCTAGAGGGATGAGAATGAAAATGGGAAGGGGAAAAATAAACCATCTGGCAAATGTTAAAGTAATCGAGAAGAGGATAAATGAAACTGTAGATAGATAAATCATCTAACCTAAACTAAGCTCAAGACTTTGGCTTTATGCTCAGAGGTACACCATTCAAATTTTACACACACCTGAAACGCGCGAACTATGCATAACGATGTTCGGATGGATATTCCAATATGCCATTTCTTTCCACAAATCGTCACACTTTTCGAAATCACCCTTCTGGCAGAACCCATGAATCAAGATGCTGTAGCTATATATGTCTGATGATATCCTGGTTGACCTCATTTCTTCCAAGAGCTTCAGTGCTTCATCCACTTCACCTTGTTGGCAAAATCCACGGATAATAGCATTATAACAATAACTACTGTAGGAACAGTTACTATTCCTTAAATCCCGTACGTATTCCAAAGCACACTCAACGTAACCAACTTTACAAGGAGCATGTACAACCGTACTGTGAGTTACAGCTGTGGGTGTAAGCCCAAATTTCTGCATTTCGTCCAGTACCTCCATCAGAGCATGAACAAGGTCTACCTCCAAATCACTGATACGGTAGAAGTTCAGAAGAATGGTGTAGGTATGAACGTTAGGCCAAGGACAAGAATTCCTCAACTGATCAAATACATCGACAAAAAGTTCATCTCTCTTGGATTCTAAAATTACACGAAAATATATGAGGTTCAAACTTATTTTCCTTAGCCTGCACTGACACACTAACTGCATTTTCCATCAACTTCTTCTCGGCCATAAATTTTATTAGTACACTCCACAAGGAAGATAATACTCCAGCAAGCTCAGGGGATCCTAACAGACTCTGAGACAGCCCCAAAACATCCAAATCAACCCCCCGATGATATGAAACAATATCTCTAAGCAAGAATTGAACGTTGTTCTCTAGCCCCGCTACTGCAAACACCTCTATAACCATTTTAAACGCACGAATTGAATGGGCATAACCATGGAACCTCACTGCCTGAACAAACTTGCCTTCCCTCACCGCCCCCAAATTCAAAGTCTTCACAGCCATAGCAACAAACGGAAACAACTTACACGACTCTTGATCACTAACCTCCTTGCAGGATACAAATGATTTCTCTACAACGGCAGTGTTGTTCTCAGTAACGGGCAAAACGTCGAACACCTGGTGTTCATCCGACGCCAGTAGTGCAGAGGAGACGGGAATAAGCCGATTCAAGCCAACAAGGTCTCCGTAGACATGTTCGAGACAGAGAAAGAATACGCATCAACAGCAAAGCCAGTCCAAGTAGTTATATTCTGAGAAACTCAGAGGACGCTCCATAACTAAGGACTGTAATGCGAGCTTTATACCTTTGCCGGAAATATCTAGATAGTAAGTTGCAAATGTTCAGCAGAAGCTAGAAAGGGACATGGATGAGGCCAACTGGCCGCCGCTATCAGTTTACAGGAAATACCGTCCAAACTCCAAAACAATCCCGCCGCGGTGATCGCTCGCCGCCGTTTACGAGTTGGGAGACGGGCGGCTGAGGGGAAAATGTGAGTTTCGTACATCATTCGTTTTATTGTCAAGGGGTGGTTTGCTTCATGGATTTAAAAATGAGGGTTTTGTAATTTAAAAATCTAAGGATTTATCAAGGATTTGACTTTTGAGGCATCATGGATTTGTAACAATCCTTTGTGTTGTTGGGATGTTTTTATCATGGATTTAAAGGTGTGTGATTTATTACTTGAAGTCAAAAATTACATTACTGCCCTTTTCTAGATGTTTGACATATTTATGATATGTACACAAAACAAGGACAAAACTTCAAAATTATCTTACTATCATTTTCTATATGTTTGACATGTTTATGATATGTACACAAACCAAGGACAATACATACTAATAAGTAGGGGTGGCAGTCGGTCGGTTTCAGTTTAACCGAAAATCGAAAACCCGGTTATCGGTTAGCCGAAGCACTCCACGGGCCATCCGACAACCGACCGAGAAGAGGCTCACGGTTAGCCGACAACCGACCGCCTGGTTTTCGGTTTTAGGCTCGGTTAGCCGCTTACCCGAAAAATACCCCTTCTCTCCAAAACGTTGTCGCTTAAGGGAGGTTCATTAAAAAAAAAAAATTCTCTACCGTCCAATCCTTATCCCCAACTCCAAAGTTCTCGATCCTTCGTTCCAAACCTCCCTTTCAGTCTTCAGATCTATCTCCCTTTCACCGCTGGCCTTCTCCTGCAAATCCCAATTTTGAAGGACGACCGGCGAGGTGAGTGTGAAGGGCGAGCTGCGGCAACGGCGAGGTGAGTGTGAAGGGCGACCGCTGGCCTTCTTCTTCTGCTGTATTGCTGTCGCCTGTCTCTCTGTCTCTGCTCGACAACGGCGAGCTGCGGCAAGGCGGGTGTGAGGGCAAATGAGCGGAGGTTTGGCTGGTGGCATGGAGCTCGACGGCGGAGGCAGACAGAGACGAGCGAAGGCCAAGGCGGGACGAGCACGGCGGCAAAGACTGACGCGCGCGAAGGAGGACGCGGGATGGACCGACGACGATCTGGTGGTGAGGAATGGGATGACGGCGAGGACTGGGAACAGGGGGAGAGAGGAAAAGTAGGGTTGGCTGGTTGGTGAATGGATTGGTGAGAGGTGATGAAGGAGAGGGGTCATTTTGGTGGAGGCGGGTAGGTTTTTTAGGGGAACGGTGTCGTCTAGACTATGGTGGGAACCCTCGGTCGGTTACTTCGGTTAGCCGGTTAACCGGCTTCGATTACTCGGCTAACCGAAGATCCTACCAGACACACCGACCACCGACCGATGCTTATAAGAGCCGGTTTTCGGTTAGCCGCTAACCGGCGGTTATCGGTTGGACCTGCCGGTTAGCCACTAACCGACAACCGAACTGCCATCCCTACTAATAAGCATAATGTTGCCACATGGACAATAATAATAAACGAGAAAATTCCGTTTTAACTTTTAACGTAACATAATCAATTACCAATTCTTTATCCTCCTTTTCAAAAGTAACATATAACAACATATATTAGAATCGGGAAAACAAAGAATTACACGTTCCATGAAAAGGTCAAAGAAAACTAGAACACAAGAAATGATATAAAAATCTAACGGGTTAATTGCAAGGATGGTCACTAGGTTTATTAAAACCGTTCATGTTTGGTCACTGCAAATATTTAATTCCATTCATGGTCACAAAGATTAGTTCAATAGTTCAAGTTTGGTCACTCTCCGTTAGTCTCCGTTAGTTTTTGCTGATGTGGCAGTCAACTATTATAGTTGACCGTTAAATAAGTGACGTGGCCATTAAAAAAATAAAAAAATAATAAAATTTAAATATTTACAATTTCCACCTCATTTTACAACTATTAAAAATAAAAATAAAACTTACCTCCCCACGCCGTCGCCACCACGGATCTCTTTTCTGGAATTTTCCGAATTACCGTCCGTTCTTCCTCCGACCTCCGTCAATGTCCCCGAAGTCGCCATCGCACTGTCACTCTCGCCCCACTTCTACTGCTTAGGCATCCTCCTTCTCTCCTTTGGCTACTTCTCTTCTCTGTTTCTTTTGTATCATTAGAAACAGCTCAAACGCCAAAGGAAGAAAAAAAGCTTGAGATCGTTTTTTCCATAGAAATTTTTTTGCTGTTTGTCGGCCCCGTCAGTCGGCGGCAGGGGGACGACGTCCGCCGCGGGGGATCCTACTCCATGGGGTCCTTCGACTACGTTGTGGAGGAGGAGGAGGAATTGGAGGTGGTAACGGAGGTCCAGAGCGTGGGGCACAGGAGAAGCGTGTCGGAGAACAAGGAGGATGAGCTGGCGGCGGAGGTGGGGAGGAGCAGCTGGCTCAAGGATTGCGTGGACAGGCTGTCGTCGTCGTTCCGGAGCTCAGGGAGGTTCTTGAGCAGCTGGCGGAGCGGGGAAGCAGCAGCGGTGGCGGAGTATGACGTGGAGGAGGCTAATAGGTACGGGGAAGAGATCAGCGAGCTCTTCCGCTGGTTCTCGGGTAGGTGAATGAAATTGATTTTCTTTCGCCTCTCTAGCGCTAGCTATTCTAGTCTACCACAGCTCAAACAGCAAATTTTTTTCTATGGAAAAAACGATCTCAAGCTTTTTTTATTCCTTTGGCGTTTGAGCTGTTTCTAAGGACACAAAAGAAACAGAGAAGAGAAGTAGCCAAAGGAGAGGAAGAGGATGCCTGAGCAGTAGAAGTGGGGCGAGGGTGACAGTGCGACGGCGACTTCGGGGACATTGACGGAGGTCGGAGGAAGAATGGACGGTAATTCGGAAAATTTCAGAAAAGAGATCCGTGGTGGCGACGGCCGCGTTGGGTGGAGGTAAGTTTTTTATTTATTTTTAATAGTTATAAAATGAGGTGGAAATTGTAAATATTTAAATTTTATTATTTTATTATTTTTTTAATGGCCACGTCACTCATTTAACGGTCAACTATAATAGTTGACTGCCACATCAGCAAAAACTAACGGATACTAACGGAGAGTGACCAAACTTGAACTATTAAACTAATCTTAGTGACCATGAATGGAATTAAATATTTGCAGTGACCAAACATGAAGGGTTTTAATAAACCCAGTGACCATCCTTGCAATTAACCCAAAATCTAACTCATGTTTGCACATAAATTGAACGTTTATATTATTCATTTATTGTTAATTATAATGTATAATAGTTAAATTTGAGGGCAACCTTGAAATATTAAAAGTGCATGAGGGTATATGGGTAAAATCTAATCAAGGATTTATGCCATATTCCAAATCCCACATCAACATGTGAGATTTATAAGTCCGTGGGATCCACGGATTTGGACCCTTAAAATCCGTGGCCCCATGGATTTGATCTCCAAAAAAGATGTAAGTAAACAACGAATTGTACCTAAATCTTTGATAATTGGTTTTTTGGTACCAAATCCATGTACCAAATCCTTAAAGCAAACGACCCTAAATCTCAAATGTCATTAGAAAATAGAAATACCTTTCCCGTGTTATACTCGAACTAACTTTTTTTATTCCTAATTACTTTGTGTATAGAAGAACATTACACGTGTCATACATTTTCCTATCAAAATAGGGACCGTCGTCGCAATAGCTCAGCTGATCTGGAAATCTATAAATACCTCAACCCCCTCCAATTTCACGGCTAGATGATAGCCGGCGCAGTTGATACTTCCGAGCTAAATCGCCGCCAACCTGTAGAGCATCACGAACTACCCTCCGCCGCCATGGTTACCCATTGACCCAACCCAACCCAACGCGGCCGTCGCCAAAAACAAAAAAAGCAAATTTACCTGCTGGACTACTCTTCTCCCGCCGGCGGGACAAATTGAAAATCAAAAGGAAGAAGCAACACATCGAGAGGAGCCTGCGGTTGATGTTATGAGTGTATTGGAAGAGTTGGCGTTTGCGGCGGCGGAGGAGCTGGAATTGTCCGCTGATCAAATTAGAGCCAACGATCAGTTGCAGGAGGATGAGGTAACAAATTATGATTGGCTTGTTGTTGATTGTGGATTGTTGAATTTTGTTTATTGCCTGTGAATCCTGAGAACTAGAATTCGAATGAAATAGTTGCTTCCTTCCTGCGCCGATGGCTTTGGTGCTCTACTTGTGTTTCAACTTGATTCATTATGTGCCTATGCTCCTGCTGGAAGTCTACCAGGGTAGTCACGTTAAAACTAAATGCGATTCCGAATGTTAATTCGTGTATTGAACTACGATTTCGCCTTCTACAATTAGCATATGATGTAGTAAGTTCCCATCCATGCTTAATTTGGGTAGCAGAATTCAAATCAGTGGAAGCAGAAGGATAGCTATTCTGGTTTGTTCACTAGCTTGACTCAATGAAAACTTTTCTCTTGACAATCTCCATGGCTTCTTTTCTTTTTGCATAAATTTCCTGCAGCTGCTTGCAATGGAGTCTATCTATGGAGAAAATGTCATCATTCTGGACAGGCAGAGAGGCTTGAGAACTTTCCAGGTTACTTACTCACTCACTACTCACTCATAGACGAATGAATCGATACCTGTGTTGGATGATTGAATGAATTGAATATTCTGATAACATGTTTATGTTGCAGGTTCACATTGAACCTAAAATTCCTGATGAACTTACCATAACCACGAAACTTTGTACAACGAGTAGTGAGATGGAGATGGCAAGCACAAGTTCAACAGACGAATTCTCATATTCATTCAGAGTCAAGTTTCTTCCCCCAATTGTGTTGACCTGCTCATTCCCTACATCTTACCCGAGCCACAAACCTCCACATTTCATCATTTCTGTTCAGTGGTTGGACTCACTTAAAATTTCCGGTATGTGTTCTGTGTTGGATTCCATATGGATGGAACTACAAGGGCAAGAAGTCATGTACCAATGGATCGACTGGCTTCAAAGCTCTTCACTTTCTCACCTTGGAATCCATCAACAGATCATACTCGGTCCTTACGGAATAAAGCATGCTGGAGACAGGCGTGCAGTTTCAGAAAGCATCTCCCCGGATTCCGACATTCCCTTACTGAGGAGGTATAATGATGAGCAGGTCCTTGAGAATTTCCTCAACAACTTGCATGAGTGCTGCATCTGTTTCTCTGAGCACCCAGGTAGATAGATTAATAGATACCTTCTACCCCACGTCACTAACACTATGCATTTATTTCCTGCCAGGAATGATTTTTGAAGAGTGACCCATCACTTATTTTTTGTGTGTGTCTGCATGATTTCATTGAACCAGGCGGTGACTTTGTCAGGCTACCATGTCAGCATTTCTTTTGTCAGAACTGCATCTCGACTTATTCCGACTTGCACGTTTCAGAAGGCACCGTGAATAAACTCCTCTGCCCGGAGTTGAAATGCGGGGGGATGATACCACCTGGTATATTGAAACAGTTGCTCGGCAATGAAAAATACGATCGCTACGAGGCTCTGATGCTGCAGAAGACGCTGGATTGTATGTCGGATGCTGTGTATTGCCCGAGATGTGAATTCGTTTGCATTGAAGACGAGGACCATTTTGCTCAGTGCTCCAAGTGTTATTTCAACTTTTGCTCTCTTTGCAATGGTGCACGCCATGTGGGTGAACCTTGCCTATCCCCAGAGTCGAAGCTTCAACTATTGGAGGTAAGCTTCTCTTCTTAGCCCTTCCTTTCTTTTCCTCTCTTTTGTGATTGTGATGGAAACTAATGCCGCCTGCTTTCCTTCCATTCTGTCCCCTCCATAGGCGAGCCTCAACTCCCCTTCTCGAACCACGGGGGCTCAGAGACGGCTGGAGCTGGAAAATAAGATCAACGAAATCATGAGCGAGAGGGAGGTGGCTCGTGTTTCCAAGATTTGCCCACATTGCAAAATGGCGATCTCGAGAATCGATGGCTGCAACAAGATGGTCTGCGGGAGCTGTGGGAAGTACTTCTGTTACCTATGTAACAAACCCATTAACGGATATGAACACTTCAGGTCAGAAAAATCAATGTTCTTTATCCCTCTTTGCCCTCCTTGATGTATGTAAAATTTAGGAGCCAAACTGACTGGTATACAGCATATCAACCACTCAGGGATGGTGCCTGTGAGTTATTCCCAACGGTGTCATCGGTTCAGCAGCAGTGGCAGGAGCGGACGAATGGCCGTCAGGCTGTGGGTCGACTCCGATCTGAACTCAATCTCGGTCGTGGTCACAAATGCCCTTTGTGTAGTCAAGAGAATGTGAAGGTGGATGCTTGATTCTTGGTGTTTGGTTTTTTTCTTTTTTTCTTTTCCTCTGATGATGCCTGGCTTATGGATTGTATTACCATTAAATCGTGCAGACGGACAATAACAATCACGTATTATGCTGGGCGTGCCAGACGCACTACTGTTACTTGTGCCGCAAGGTTGTGAAGCGCAGCAGCGAGCATTTCGGGCCGAAGAAATGCAAGCAGCATACAGAGGGATAGAGGGTCGAGCGGATACAATACACTACTCTATTTTTGTTATTGCCCAATTGTAATTGATGTCATCATTAGCTCATTAGCGCCTTTACTTTATGTTTGGACATTCGATTATTTATATTCTCTAATCAAGTTGTGGAATTCCAGAGCAAGAGTTGCTTGATTACATCTCGGGGGTTGCTGTGTGACTGTGAAGTCTTTAAATCATTTTCGATTAAGTTCATAAATCCGACAAACATATCGTGTAAATAATATGATATATCGTTGTATTGTGATATATTGTCAATTTGTCTTTCTTTTTAGTTTTTTATAGTTTGAGTTTTATAACCAGAAACTTTTCTGCATTTTTTGTTCTTGTTTTTTGGTTCTCACACGGGTTCTAATCGCTTGTTTTTAAGGAGTTAATGGATGTAGTCGCTGAACTTTCATTTTTCCTATTCAAGTCCTTCAACAATTTATATTTTCATTTAGGTCACATGTTAGTCATGTGATCCCATATAGCATTGAGGGTGACCGGTGGAGTTGAACATCTGCCTACAAAATTGGCTTGTTCCTGAGCTCTTCGTATGCCTTGTCATTGTTTTCATTAGTTTCTTCAACATCCCTAAATTCTTTATCGTCCCTCTATGCATGTCATCTTCATCGTCCATGTTTGTTTCTTCATGCTCGAGAATTCTTAGTACCATCGTCTTGTTTGTTTCTTCATTATCCATCCTGTAAAATCGGAATCAGAATCATATATCAATATGCAAAAGGAAGTTAAGCAATTACAAACAAAATGGATCATATACAAAAAGTTGATGTGAGATCGATAATTTTTTAGAAACAATTGACCGCTTGTTGAACGTAGCAAAATGAAAATAGCGTATTCAGTCTACCACATATACTTACTTGTCGACCGTTTTGTCCAAGTCACCGTGGCAAAGTCCTTATTTTTTTCATAGAAAATTATATTAATTGTTCTATTTAAAATAATATTCAGTTTAGGGTTATAGGTATAATATACCCCTCTACTATGTCGTTTTATCAAACATGTCCCTCTACTATTTCTTACATCAAACATGCCCTTCTACTTTGAAAACATTATCAAACATACCCTTCTTATAAAATTTCCATCCAAAAAATCGTTAACCATGATTGAACTTTGATTTGGGCGACACAAATGTCTAAATTATCCATAATAATTTGACTTTATAATTTTTTTTGTTCCTTTGTATAGTCAAAGAATTTTAATATTTTCACTTTGACGAGACCCAACAAAATAAAAATAGGGGACAAAACTGACATTTCGTCGCTCATTTACTGATGTAGGGTCATCTAAATATCGGTTCAACCATGATTGAGGATTTTTTCAATGGAAATTTTAACAAAAGTGCATGTTTGATAATTTTTTGGGTAATGTCTATTTTTTATCAAAACCTTTTTCATATTCTTTTATATTATCAAAACCTATTAAAATTCTATTAATTATCCAAATCTTTCGTAATGTATCAAAATATTAGTCATTTTTACGTTATCGTTAATAATTTTGTAACTCTTTTCTTAGTTAAAATACTAAAATTTTAGAATGTTGACCTTCATGAGTCTCTTCCAAGTCAATACCAGGTTGCCAAGTCAATATTACTAACAAAATTGCTAACTGGGAGTTAACATTTGGCTAATTTTTAGTATTTCGATAGGTTTGGATAATATAAAAGAATCTGAAATAAGTTTGGATAAAAATAGACATTAGGGGCATGTTTGATGTAAAAAATAGTAGAGGGGCATGTTTGATAAAATAACATAGTAGAGGGACATATTATACCTATAACCCTTCAGTTTAATATATTTTGGAACAAAAAATTGAGATAAATATTACCAGTCTATACCATGGCAGTAATGTTAATATACCACAGGGGTATTAATATATAAAGCATAAAATGATTGTATATGTGATAGTAGGAATATACTAACTATTACTTACCAGCTTTCATCACCGTCTACACCAATTACTACCTTATACCATGGCCATGGTGGTATATTTGGTCCAAAAAAATTTCTTCGAAAATTTGTAGATCTGATAGATCACGATGGAAATGTCTCTCTTGTGCATAATTTTTCAAAATTTGAGTGAAAACAAAGGTGGTATAGAGTGGTATATGGGTAGTAACGAGCGGTTTGGGTGGTACACAAAGTTTACTCGAAATATATTGAGAATAAGTACCATTTTGTAGATCATAACGATATCGTTCCATCTGTACAATTTTTTTTTTTTAGATTCAGCTTCAAACAACAAGATACAAGCCGATTAAATGTAAGAATTACTCTCACTAGTAAGACCTTGCCACATTTAATATCAAAGGCCCAAATATGATTATGCACAAGTGCATAACAAGAGGTTATTGACCCTATCCAAGACCAACTGTTGTTAGTGAATCCTAGGCATGGTTTAGTGCAATTTTGTTGCTATTGTGGTTGTCGTGTTGTGACAGCAAAGGTATAACCACAACGTCATGAAAATGTAAAAGAGTAACATGTTTAGTTGGTAATTATAAGAAATTATGAAAATTTTCACTTTTGTGTGTTTAGTTACTTAATTGGACCCCACTTAGTATTAATATTGAGAATAAGACAAAATTATAAAATAATGGAAGAAATATTGTGATATGATGAGTTTGGAGAAATTGAGAAAGAAAAATATATGAGAATAATATTGACAATAATGTCTAGGGTATGAGTTATACGAAAATTAATAGAAAAAAATGTACAAAGCAAGTTTAATTTAGTGAGATTTGATCATATTTATTTGAGTGAAATTATTACAACAACGGATAGAATCTCAAAAGAAATAGGTTTTGAAAACAACAAGGAAGCTATTTTAAGTTTTTTTTAAAAAAAATTCTTATTATGACTTTAAGTTGTTTCACAGTTTTCACATAATTTTTGTTGGGTTGCCAACTCCTATTGCCTCAACAACAAATGAAAAATGTAACGAAAAATGTGTTTCGATCTTTGTTTTCACATGTAAAAATAGATAACTAAAACTAAAATGATACTAAACGGGTTCCTAGTGTATTTGTTGAACCACGAAATGAAACGCCAAATTTTTACATGATTATTTCATAATCCATTATGAAATTATAACTAATTGGTATCATGTAAAAAATTATTTATTGTTTAGTTTAGTGCAGTGTTTATAAAATTGTACCATATTAACGATCTGACAGAACAATATTTCCGACTCTAATTTAATAAAAAAAACTTTTAACAATATAAAACAATTAAACGATAATATCATCATATCTCTAACTTTTTGGATCCAATGTCAATTTCGTATATCATTAGTTTATGGTTAAATCTCGGGTTAATTGCATGGTTGGTCATTGAGATTACAAAAAATGTTCATGTTTGGTCACTGAAAATATTTAAATTCAATCTTGGTCACTCAAATTAGTTAAATGGTTCAAGTTTGGTTACTCTCCGTCCAACTCCGTTAAATATGTTTGATGTGGCAGTCAACCCTCAAAGTTGACCGTTAACTCGGTGACGTGGCAATTAAAAAATAATAAATAAATAAATTTTAATCTTCTACCATTTCCAACTCATTTTCACAATAAAGTAAAATAAAAAAAAATTATTATAATCACAATTCTTGCGTCTCCTCTAAAATCTTCCTTTGTCTGCATTTACTCTTTAGTTCTTCCGCGCAATGACCTCAACTCTATCAGCCAATCAAATCAACTTCTCAAAATCAATCCTTCATTTTCTCCATCCATTTATTGCGGGTTACTTATTCGACTCCTCTTCCCCTGTTTTTCCCTCGATTCGGGATCTCCCTCTCGGATCCCACCCGGTTCACTTGCCCGCTGGACATTTTCTCCGTCAATCCCGTCCCTGGAGATCGATTGGGGGCATTTCTGAATCTGGGTTCTGGTCCAAATCCGTCACTGTCTGGGTAATTACTAATTAGTATACTACTTGTTCTTCCTTTTATACCTCTGGTTCAAGAGAAGCAGAACAAAAGAAGTTCCAAACAAAGGGGACTTCCCCAATTTCTCCATCATCAAGCCACTGGAACCTGTGGAGGTAAGCACCCGTCTGGCTATTCACAACTTCCGGGGTCAACACTCAACACCTTGTTCTTCGGGTGCCCGCAGTTGTAGAGAACCATGGAGGACCAGTTCTTCCTCGGGTAAACTGTCTGGACGGCGCCATCCATCTTTGTGGTTTCCTTCGGGGTGTAGTCATGGTGGACGCACATGATGGCGTACTTATCGTCGGCCAGATCGCGGAGCTCCTTGATGTCGGCCAGGTAGAGGAAATCGCAGTCGACGAAACCATTTTTTTTTGTCCGCATAATAATAATTTTTTTTATTTTACTTTATTGTGAAAATGAGTTAGAAATGGTAGAATATTAAAATTTATTTTATTTATTATTTTTTAATTGCCACGTCACCGAGTTAACGGTCAACTTTGAGGGTTGACTGCCACATTAGACATATTTAACGGAGCTGGACGGAGAGTGACCAAACTTGAACCATTTAACTAATTTGAGTGAACAAGATTGAATTTAAATATTTTCAGTGACCAAACATGAACGTTTTTGTAATTTCATTGACCAATCATGCAATTAACCCGTTAAATCTCAAATGCCATTAGAAATACCTTTCTCGTGTTGAACTCGAACTAACACGTGTCCTACGTTTTCCTCCCAAAATAAGGATCGTCGTCGCAATAGTTCAGCTGATCTGCAAATCTATAAATACCTCAACCCCCTCCAATTTCACGGCTAGATGATCGCCGGCGCCGTTGATACATTCCGAGTTAAATCGCCGCCAACTTTGAGAGCGATTTCGAACTACCCTCCGCCCCCATGTTTACCCACTGACCCAAACCCCAACGCGGCCGTCGCCCAAAAGACAAAGAAGCAAATTTACCTGCTCGAGTTCTCTCCTCCCGCCGGCAGGACAATTCGAAAATCAAAAGGAAACATGCCGAGAGGAACCTGCAAAATTCCTAGCCTCGATTCCTCTCGTATCTCGTCGATTTCTCCCAAACTGCCATCTCAGCCAGTAGTTGTTCACCACGGCGTCGCCGAGGCAGGTCCTCCGAATTCGCCTAGTTCAGGTGAATCCCCAGCTGAGAAGGAGAAATTGTTGGAGACAGATAACAGGGTTAGTGAGAGTAAGTACGAAATTTGTGATGGTTCCGGCGGTGGCGGCGCGGTTGATGTTATGAGCGTATTGGAAGAGTTAGCGTTAGCGGAGGCGCCGGAGGAGGAGCTGGAGTTGTCTGCTGATCAAATTAGAGTCAACGATCAGTTGCAGGAGAATGAGGTAACAAATCATGATTACCTGTGAATCCTGGGGACAAGAATTTGAATGAAATAGTTGTTTCCTTGGGCTTTGGTGCTACTTGTGTTTCAACATGATTGATTATGTGTGTTCTGTCATAAACCAGTTGGTCCCAATAACTCGAGTTGTTGGGAGAAGGTTATGCTGGATCTTATAGCACTCTCTAACACGCCCCCTCAAACGAAAGCCAACTCACGGGCTTGAAGTTTGCACAGGCCCACCATACCATGTGCTTGAAGACAACGATTAATATTGGGGGTCGTGGAGATTCGAACACACGACCACTTGGCCAAACCAGCTCTGATACCATGTGAGAGATGGAAAGTGGTTATTGTATTCATGTAGGAGAGTGGTTTAAATACCACATCTTGAACAGAAACGTAGCTACAACTAAGGGGCCACTTAGCCACTAACTAACTGAATTACAATTGATAAATACATAATGAAAAATAATTAACATCATGGAGATATGCGCTTATCATGTTCCTGCTGGAAGTCTACCAGTGTAGTGACTGTAAAACTCGGGGCGAATCGGAATGTTAATTCGTGCATGGAACTACGATTTCGCTTCTCCAATTTACGAGAACAGAACTCAAATCAATGGAAACAGAAGGATAGTTGTTCTGGTTTGTTCACTACCTAGAGTTAATGAGAACTTTTCTCTTGACAATCTCCATGGCTTCTTTTCTTTTTGCATAAATTTCCTGCAGCTGCTAGCAATGGAGTCCATCTATGGAGAAAATGTCATCATTCGGGACAGGCAGAGAGGCTTGAGAACTTTCCAGGTTACTTACTCACTCACTACTCACTCATAGACGAATGAATCAATACCTGTGTTGGATGATTGAATAGATTGAAGATCCTGATGACAGGTTTATGTTGCAGATTCACATTGAACCTAAAATTCGTGATGAACTTACCATAACCACGAAACTTTGTACGACGAGTAATAAGCTGGAGATGGCAAGCACGAGTTCCATAGACGAATTCTCATATTCGTTCGGGGTCCAGTTTCTTCCGCCAATCATGTTGACCTGCTCATTCCCTGCATCATACCCAAGCCACAAACCTCCACGTTTCACCATTTCTGTTCAGTGGTTGGACTTAGGGGTGGGCATCCGGTTCGGTTTTAACTCTCCGAACCGAACCGAACCGAAGCCGAACCGACCGAAACCGAAGTTCTCACTATTCGGATCGGAAATCGGAAAGGAAATACTCTTAATTCGGAATACAGAGTATGCCAACCGAACCCGAAATTCCGAGTTCCGAACCGATAAACCGAAAATGCATACCCAACTACCACATCCTGCCAGGCCCAACAAATTAAAGAAGCCCAGCTGAGGGTCAAGCCCAGCAACCGAGACTCAAATTGAAGGCCCCCTCCTCCAGAATCCAAAGAAAGAACCCAACAATAACAAAACCTAATCCTAATTCCATCTCTCTCTCCCTTTGTCTCTCCCTCTCGTCCGCCGCTCACCACAATCACCACTCACCACCACCGACCGTCTCTCACTCTCTCTCGATCACTCGAAACCTCAAACGGTGTACCCACTACACAGCTCCTTCTTCATCGCGAAAAACGAACTCTGGTGTGGCATCTCGGCGGCGGCGCAATCGACAAGGAGAGGTGGTGCCGCGACGGGATCTGCAACAGAGACGACAAAAATTAGCGGTGGTGGAGCCCCTGCATGCTCTCCCATGGCTCTGTCTTCTCTTTGCCACCGCTTCCTCTTCATCAAAATGGGCGAGCGGCGAACTTAGTGCTCCAGATCTGGGGAGAAGGCGAGCCCGGTGGCGGAGGGAGCTCATTGCGATCTGCGCGGCGGAGTGCTCTAGGCGGCGGAGTGCTTGGTAAGGGTGGATTGATGGCCTGTTGTTTTATCAGAGAAAGATGGATGGATTGAAGAGGGTGATATGGGAGAAGGAAGAAGAGAATGGGGAGAGAGAGTGAGAGAGAGCCGAGAGGGCAGAGGGGTAACAAATTAAGAATGTGAAAAAAGAATTCTCGGGTTCGTCGGGTTTTCCGTTCCGAACCGAGTTATATTTCGGTTCGGCCAGACCGAACCGAAATATAATTCGGTTCGGAATCGGTTTGGTCTGTGACTATAACTGCGGTACCGGTAATCATCTTTTCGGTTCGGTTTGAACCGAACCGACCGAATGCCCACCCCTAGTTGGACTCACTTAAAATTTCCAGTCTGTGTTCTGCGTTGGATTCAATATGGATGGAACTACAAGGGCAAGAAATTATGTACCAATGGATCGACTGGCTTCAAAGCTCTTCACTTTCTCACCTTGGCATCCATCAACAGATCATACTCGGTCCTTATGGAATAAAGCCTACTGGCGACAGGCGTGCAGTTTCAGAAAGCATCTCCCCCGATTCCGACATTCCTTTGTTGATGAGGTATAATGACGAGCAGGTCCGGGAGAGTTTCCTCAACAACTTGCATGAGTGCTGCATTTGTTTCTCTGAGCACCCAGGTAGGCAGATAAATAGATACCTTGTATCCCACGTCACTAACCTTAAGCGTTTTTCCTACCAGGAACGATTTTTGTAGAGTGACCCATCACTTTTATTTTGCGTGTCTGTGTGTGTGTGCGTGATTTCATTGAGCCAGGCATTGACTTTGTCAGGCTACCATGTCAGCATTTCTTCTGTCGGAGCTGCATCGGGACTTACTCCGATTTGCACGTTTCAGAAGGCACCGTGAATAAACTCCTCTGTCCTGAGTCAAAATGTGGGGGGATGATACCACCTAGTACATTGAAACATTTGCTCGGCGATGATAAATATGTTCGCTACGAGTCTCTCATGCTGCATAAGACGCTGGATTGTATGTCGGATGCTGTGTATTGCCCGAGATGTGAATTCGTCTGCATTGAAGATGAGGACCACTTTGCTCAGTGTTCCAAGTGTTTCTTTAGCTTTTGCTCTCTCTGCAAGAGTGCACGCCATGTGGGCGAACCTTGCATATCCCCAGAGTCGAAGCTTCAACTACTGGAGGTAAGCTTCTCTTAGCGCTTTCTTTTCCCTCTTTTCTGGTTGTTGATGGAAACTAATACCTCCTGCTTTCCTTCCATTGTGGCCCCATAGGCGAGCCTCGAGTCTGCTTCTCGAATCACGGGGGCTCAGAGGCGGCTGGAGCTGGAAAATAAGATCAACGACATCATAAGGGAGCTGGAAAATAAGATCAACGAAATCATGAGCGAGATGGAGGTGGCTCGTGTTTGCAAGATTTGCCCACATTGCAAAATGGCGATCTCGAAAATCGATGGCTGCAACAAGATGGTCTGCGGGAGCTTTGGGAAGTACTTCTGTTACCTATGTAACAAACCCATTAACGGATATGAACACTTCAGGTAAGAAAATCAATGTTCTTTATCCCTCTTTGCCCTTGAAGTATGTAAAATTTAGGAGCCAAACTGACTGGTACAGCATATCAACCACTCAGGGGTGGAGCCTGTAGATTATTCCAAACAGTATCACCGGACCAGTGGCAGGAGCGGACGAATGGCCGTCGGGCTGTGAGTCGACTCCGATCTGAACTCAACCAGGAGCGGACGAATGGCCGTCAGGCTTTGCGTCGACTCCGATCTGAACTCAACCTCGGTCGAGGGCACAAATGGCCTTTGTGTAGTCAAGAGAATGTGAAGGTGGATGCTTGATTACTGGTGTTTGGTTAGTTTTTTTTTTTTCTTTTTTGCTGATGATGCCTGGCTTATACATTTGTATTATCATTATATCGTGCAGACAGACAATAACAATCATGTATTCTGCTGGGCGTGCCAGACGCACTACTATTACTTGTGTCGCAAGGTTGTGAAGCGCAGCAGCGAGCATTTTGGCCTGAAGAAATGCAAGCAGCATACAGCGGGATATGTCAAGAACCAATTGATCCCAATAACTCGAGTTGTTGGGAGAGGTTCAATCGTGGATCATATACCACAACACTAACACGCCCCCTCAAACGAAAGCCACTCACAAGGGCTTGAAGTTTGCACATGTTTGAAGACAAGAATACCATGTGCTTAACAAATGGGAGTCGCCGGGGATCGAACACAAGACCTCTCAGTCACAGAAGGCTCTGATACTATGTCAAGAACCAGTTGGTCCCAATAACTCGAGTTGTTGGGAGAGGGTTCTGGATCTTATACCACACTCTAACACGCCCCCTCAAACGAAAGCCAACCCATGGGCTTGAAGTTTGCACAGGCCCACCATACCATGTGCTTGAAAGATAACAGTTAATATTGGGGGTCGTGGAGATTCGAACACGTGACCTTTTGGTTCGAGGCTCTGATACCATGTCAAGAACCAGTTGATCCCAATAACTCGAGTTGTTGGGAGAAGGTTATGCTGGATCTTATACCACTCTCTAACACGCCCCCTCAAACGAAAGCCAACCCACGGGCTTGAAGTTTGCACAGGCTCGCCATACCATGTGCTTGAAAGACAACAGTTAATATTGGGGGTCGTGGAGATTCGAACACATGACCTTTCGGTTCTAGGCTCTGATACCATGTCAAGAACCAGTTGGTCCCAATAACTCGAGTTGTTGGGAGAGGGTTCTGGATCTTATATTCACATGGTATCAGAGCTTCTTGCTTAACAGCCTTCAGATCTAGGAACCCTAAAACTTTTTCCCCCCTTCTTTTATCGGCAGGATGAGTCCAAACTCACCAGGTCGCTTCTCCCTTTCATAGATCAATCACCCGGGATACCTCTACTTTCCCCCCCAGCAGCTCCTTCCTTCTTCCCCACACCTACTTCCCCAGCCTAACGGCAAAAGTTTTTTTTTTCCGGTCCTTCTTCCCGGCAACCATCAAAGTTTCCTCTCCTCCCCTCCGCCGCTTCCGGCCACTGCTTCACAATGCAACATTAACACTTGCTGCGCCTGCTACCCAAGTCTTTCTCTACTCAAAGTTTGCTTCTCTTCTCGTAGGCAGCCGGTGTTAGCCCTTTCCTTTGTCGCTGCATCTGTTTCATCTCCATGTATCTCTGTCTTGGCACCTCTCTGTTCTATATGATATCCTTTCACGGCGGCCGGCATTACCCCTTTCGGTCACCCTTTTCCCAGATTCTCCATACAAGAAGAAAAGGCAGATTCTTCAGTAGCCTTCCTCTGTTTTCTTCCTTCCAAAATGTCGGACTCGTCAGCCACCACTGAATCTTCTTCTTTCTATAATTTGGCCGGTCAACCCCTTGTATTCACTCCTCAAAACTTCAAACAACTGGGTTTAACTCTCTCTCTGCCCCTTTTGCGGCAGAGTAATCTTCCTATCCTCTCCTCTCTTTCTAATCCCTTCTTTCCTTCTAGCTCTCGGTTCTATTTTCTAATTCTCCAACTCTCTCCTTGGCATACTTCTCCTTTCTCTTCTTTAAGTCCTCCATCGCTATCTTCTTTACCAATCTCATTATTCCTTTTACTCCCACCTCCCTTTCTCGCTCCCCTGTGGCTTCCTTTGTCACTTTCTATTTGCTTAGCGGCAACAAAATCCCCTTCACCATCTTCAGTACTCTTCGCACTCTGCTCCATCAAGCGCTATCTAGCTTTCTTCTCTCTCTGGTCTCGTCAAATGGTTGCCCAAATACAGAGTATACCCACATCTCACGTGCTACAGGGTTGTTGACTGAACTGCGGCAACCTCTTCTACTGCTCCTATCCTTTGGTGTGAGAATCTGGGGGCGACATACTTAGCTCATAATCCCGTGTTCCACAGTCGCTCCAAGCATATGGAGATTGATTTTCTTTTTGTCCGCAATCGGGTCACGAAGGGACAGCTTAATGTTCGTTACTTACCGGCCACTGATCAACTTGCTGATGTTCTCACTCGGCTTCCATTCAACCAGTTTTGCTCCAAGTTTCGCCTCTCCGAAGCTTCACTTGCGGGGGCGTGATAGAGATCATATATCTCCCTGAAGTTAGGAACTGACTGTTAGCCCTGTACTCCACTACTCTGTTTCTGTTGCATATCTTCAAGGAGACTCTCCGTAGGATTAGCTTCTCATTGTAACTACCTGCTGTATAAATACATTTACACTAACAGGATAGAGGGTTGAGCGGATACTACTATGGTTTTGCTATTGCCTAATTGTAATTGATGTCATTCATGCATTTTTCTGGGAAGTATTGGACCGAGAACACATGCTTTGGCAAAAGACATTGCAGGTTGTCTTCAGCACCAAGCAAACCAGCCAAGAAGGTGAGATGGAGCCTGTTTCTTGATGGCACTGTTTTCCCTTTTCGTCTGTGCCGGTAAAACGGATTGGGCTTGACCCGCGGAATATCCATGGGCTTGCCGCTAAAAATTCAATGGCTCGCGCAGTCGCGCTTATAAAATGACCGACTAACCCTTTTCCTAACTACTCTTTTAGTACACGTGTCATACGCTCCTACCAGGAAAAGAATTAATAACCGTCGGAATGGTTTTTTGTTCAGCTGATCTGGAAATCTAGTCTAGATAATAAATAAAAGCCGAATGATGAAAACTGTTGCTCCATTTCAAATTTCCTGCAACGAGAGTGATTATAGGAAGGACATTTTGGTCTTCACAATTGCTTATTTTCTTATTTATTTATTCATAAAAAATGCATGCACTGGGATTTGAACCTTGGTCTCTTTAAAGGCAAGCAAGGATCATAACCAATCACACTAAGTATATTTGTTGTATCTATTTAAATTCAAACATACACGAACCTAAATTATGAAAATCATATGACTTTTTTAACGATTAGTTGGCCACTGAATCTCCCGTAAGTACTTATTTGGTGTTTTAATACTTTGATTATTTTAGTTGTAGTTTAATACTTAATTTAAATTTCTATCTATTTTATAAATATACAATAACCCTAAAATTGCAGCCCAAATATCACTGGTTCGAATATTGCATATCGAATTGCAATATTAAACATGTAGAAGCAATATCGACTTCTTAAATTAATATTATTTTTCAGAATTACTATGGAGAAATTATATCTTTGTGCAAACTATATGAGACTGGTTCTTTTAATGTTTTAGTCGGGATAACCGCTACATTTTAAACTTCTTCATAATCTGGCATGATTGGATCCAATGATCATTATACAAGATTGTGTTTAATAGGGTGGCTCATTTCACCACTTTTTGGCGTGTTAATGAATTTGTAGGACAATGACAGGTCTACATCTACACTCATCACAATCTACACATCATATAAATGTGAAATGAGAAAAGAGGGATTCCATTTCAAATTTGATGCGTATAGAGCAATTTTTTAGGGGTAAATTTAGAAGATGCCAGTGCGGTCGGTCTGTTGAGCACGAAAGTAAAAATATGTTTTCATTTAAACGGGCACAAACTGTTATTTGGCCCACTAATCGTGCACCCATCGCCAATGCAGTCAAATTCGGGATTTTGATCATAAAATCGTAGGATTTTAGGATTTTACTTAGGGATTCCGATCTTGATTTTACTATAAAATCGGTGGACCTTAAAATTGTTTAAAATCGGGACTAAAATCATTAAAATCGTAAAATAGTATCGAAATCGGGATTTTGATCGTAAGAGAACAAAATAGGTGGTTTGAGCCAATTTAAAATAAGTATAACTGTTTCAGCGGAAAGAGCAATGGAATCTTCTCAGATATTTTTCTATTAGAAAAATATTCAAAAATAATAAAAATAACCAAATTAGGGTTCGGTTAATCTCTTTCCCTTCACCCCATTTAACTTATTGGTAAAACACATGTCCTAATATTGGAAGTATGTAAGAACTAACATCATTATTAACTAATTAATTTATTAATGAATATATTTGTACCAACCCACTAACATTACTTATTTTATTGGAGTTCAATTATTTTTAGTTTTAAATCATACTTAGTAGACGATGTCGAAATATTACTTTGAGTTAAACAACCTAGACATAACATGAAAATAAGAGCCAAACCCATGAACTATATCTCTTCATCATGAATTATTTTGAGTTACACATTAAATAGCAATTAAAATAGTGATTTTGGAACATTAATCTTGAGAATTATCTTATGGAAAAAAAATCTTCTGAATTATCATTTTAAATGCTATGTGTCTTTGTGATATTAATAATTTACCTTATTAATATTCTTATATGCTATGTTCTATATGGTACTTAAAATCCTACGATTTTACGATTCGATTATACGATTTTGATTTTACCCCAGTTTTCGATTTTAGGTAAAATCTCGATTTTAACTGCTTTGCCCATCGCAGCCTCTCCAAATCTTCCTATTCTACTCGCCGGGTCATCTCATCCACTACAAAATATCTCCTCATGTACTCAAAGTTCTCACTAAAACCTAATATCTACAACTAAGGCGCAGAGGGAGCAACCGATGGATTGTAGCGACCCCCACTATTTTGATAGCTAATCAAGAAGAGCGCGTTTGTTTAGTTGTATGGTGATTCACTTAATTAACAATTTTAATTCCGTTGACAGCCTCCTCTCCGCAATAGTATTGTGTTCACGAAGATCTGAAGGCGCAAGTGCAACAGGTCCAGGGGTAAACAATATGTATAAAGCGTTGGCCAAATTGAATTGAGTCATTCTACTTGGAATATGAAGATTTTTGCTTAATTGCTTTGGTTCGTGATGCAACTATGTTATGTTTGAAGGTAGACCAACGCAAACAACAGCACAGCTCCAGGGCTATTCTGCACATTAGGTAGTTGGGGCATTAATTGATAATTATTTGGGATTATTCCTACAAGTACATAATTTGGAACGTGCCTTTATATTGCATTGATTAATAGTTGTTTGAGATTTTTCAAATGAGTGATTTGACATGTTAAACTCTCTTTTTTTTTTGAAATGGAGTCTTCGAAGTGGAATATGAAGATTTTGGATTAAGCTTGGTTTCGTAACGCCCTTATGGGTGTTTATTCTCTAAAATGCAGTTGTCTTTCAAAGTGCCCATTGCAAATGGCAAGTCAGGATACAACGATGGTACCGGTACACGTTTATATCATTAGTAGGTAGCAGATTGTGTCCATTCTACTATATCATTTAGCTAGATACTTAGTTGTTCTTTTCAACTAAAAATTATGCTTAAATGCTGTGATTGGCCTCAGAAATGTATGTCTTTGCATTAACTGTTAATGATTGTGAGTTTTGGTTTAATGGTGAAAAGTCCATTTATTTAGAAGTCTAAATTGGGCAAACCTATTGGACAATAGGAATGCCATACAGCTGTTTGATGTCTCAGGGTGTTAGATTTTTAAGAAGGTTGTTTGTTGTGGCAGAGAGTCCCTAAAGCTAGCGAGGTATTCCTATGTGGGCTTTTTCTTTGTTTGACTTTTTCTCGCTTTTTTCTTATCTCTTTTTCTATTTTTTGTTTTTGTGTGCTACCTTCAGTTGCTACGTCTTCATTTGTGAGCCATCTATACTTTTCTTATTCAGTGCCTAAAAATCATATATACTCGATTGCATAGTAGTTACTAATAGATACATTTATACCAATAGAGAGATTTTAAGTTTTATCAGTTGTTAGTTTTAATATTTACTTACATTGGTTGTTTATGTAGTTTTCTTTGTAATATTTCTCATTATACAACTAATTACTATGGCTACGTAGTTGTATAAGTGGGGGTTGGACATGATAGTTCTTAGAAGCATCAATACTTGAAGGTTATTATAATGACCAAATTCTAAAGTTATGGTTTGCCTTCAACTTGCTTGGAGCATTTCAATTATGCATCAATTGTTCTCTCCGTGTAGTTAACTCTCAGACAAATCGAAAATCTTGCTGATATGTGCTTGATTGTAGTTAAATTTAGGGTTCTACTGCATTGTTGCTTTACTCTTTTTTCGTGGTTGAGTCTGCTTCAAAAAATTTAGTTTGATTTTAGAAAATTTTGCTTCTGCAGTCCTGTCTTGCCACCAACGCGTTCAATAGATGGAGACGGGAGAGGCGAAGGCTATTTTTGTGTTGTTGTTGCTGGTTTAGGGATCGGTTTGTGAAGAAGAGGGAGAAGAGAGGGGGAAAGGGAAATGCAGGAGAGGGGGATAACTCTTTTCTCCGACAAAAATGGAGTGAAGAAAGGAATTATGATCAGTAAGAATATGGTTATCTTACATAACGGTCTCTATTCTGTTTGAATTGAGCTTGAGAGGCAGTGATAAGGACGAGCTGCAACCAATTCATAGTGAGAAGAGAGCTATGAACTGTGATCATGTCTTATTTCAAGTTAGAAGGTAGTTTCAGTATAAGGATTATTTAATTTGACAAGTTGTTTCGTCCATGATTCTTGGTAGTTTCAGTGCCATTCTAGCCAATGTTTAGTCTGTAATTTTTGAGAATTGATGTGCGAGTAATGACTTTCACTTAGCTTCAACTATTATGTGTGTATTTATTGGCATGTGATAGAATTCTCTTTTCCTTTTCATTGAATTCATTTTCATACTCTAATTGTATTATTTGTACATAGGCAAATCATGCTCGAGATGGCAACTCGCTGATATGGCTGGTGCAAGGAATGAAGCCATCATTAGAATTCAGACCGGCAACGGGGAGGGATGCCCAGGACTAATTCAATGATGATTGATGATGGTATAATAAAAACTGCAGTCTGCATCAGCACCAATTTCTAGGCCTAAGTAAAGGTATTCAACCCAGAACTCTGCTTAGCGCTAAAAATTTCCCTCACCCAACCTTGATCCTGTTTGACCCACTTCTGAAGAGTCAAGATATATGACTAATCCTCCCCGTTCGTATTTTCTTATTGACTCTTTCTGACCCTGTAGGTTGGGGCGGGTCGGGAAGAATTGGATTAGTGGGTCGGTCCTAATCAAGTGGAATCCCAATCCCTTCACTCTCACTTGCTTTCTCTCCCATTCCACAAGTAGGTAACATACAGTAATCCGGCCAACGGGCCGGGTAATAAGCTAGTGTATATAGAGACCTAAATTACCTCCAATCTCCTCGTCCTAGCTGATCGCCGGCGGTCGTTGATATATTCCGACTCCGAGTTCAATCGCCGTTTACGGTTCAGCGTCTCTGTGTTCCCCGCACGCGAAGCTCTCTCCACCGCCAAGGTTCTCCAATAACTGAACGGCGAGAGGTGATCGCCGCCATATCTCGCCGTCAAAAACGAGGATCAATTTACATGCTCGAGTTCTCCTCTCCCACCAGCCGGACAGCTAGAACAGCGGAAGGGAGAGGCAACATGTCGAGAGGAGGCAGCTTCGATTCCTCTCATCTCCCGTCGATTTGTCCTCCTGAATTCTCTAAACCCCCTCACAAACGCCCACCGCGCCGCCGGAAGGCGCCCAAAAAGTCGCCCGTCAAGAAGTACGAGCCGGTCAACGTCCACCACGGCGTCGCCGAGGCAGGTCCTTCGAATTCGGATACGTATGGACCGGTTTCGCCGCGAAATGAGCCGAGTTTGCCTAGTTCAGTTGAATCCCCAGCTGAGGAGAACTTGTTGGAGCCAGATAACAGGGTTTGTGAGAGTAAGAATGAAGTCGGTGATGGCTCCGGCTGCGGCGTGGTTATTGACGTTATGACGGTATTGGAAGAGTTGCAGCTTGGGGCGGAAGAGCCCGAGTTGTCTTCTGATCAGTTCAGAATCAACGATCAGTTACAGGAAGACGAGGTAAAATTTGTGAATCGTTTGAATTGAACAAATGTTGATTATGATTGTGGCTTGCTTGTTAAGAGTTCTTCCTGTGAATGGTCGAATTTGTTTATGGCCTGTGAATCTTGGAACTAGAATTTGGATGAAATAGTTGCTTCTTTATGTGTGCCTAACGTCATGTTGGAAGTCTGCTAGGCAATCACAGTACAAATAAGGGAGATTATGCATGAATCGCGTGTAGAATGACGATTTATCCTTCTTCCCATTGGCATGATGCACAATGTTACATCCAAACTTCTATAGGAATAATTTCAGAAGAATTTTGGAAACAGAACACAAAGCAGTAGATACAGAAGATGAGAAGAATTTCAGAAGGATAGTTATTCTGGTTTGTTTGCTGGTTTGATCTATGAAAAAATTGCGTGTAACATCTCCGTGGCTTTGTTCTTTGATCACTTCCCTGTAGTTACTTGCAATGGAGTCCATTTATGGAGAAAATGTCATCATTCTGGACAGGCAGAGAGGCTTGAGATCTTTCGAGGTTACTTACTCACTCAGTGCACCAATTCATTGGTAACTTAGTTGGATGATTGCATAATATGAAGATTCTGATGACATTTATATGTTGCAGATTCGTATTGAACCTAAAATTCCTGATGAACTTACCATAACCACAAAACTTCCTTCATCAAATAGTAAGATGCAGACGACAAGCATAACAAGTACTGCAGACGAGTTCTCATATTCGTTTAGAGTCCAGTTTGTTCCGCCAATTGTTTTGACCTGCTCTTTCCCCAAATCGTACCCAAGTCACAAACCTCCACATTTCACCATTTCTGTTCAGTGGCTGGATTCCCTTAGAATTTCGAGTCTTTGTTCGGTTCTGGATTCGATATGGATGGAACAACAGGGGCAAGAAGTTATGTACCAATGGATTGACTGGCTTCAAAGCTTTTCTCTTCCTCACCTCGGGATTCATCAAGAGATCATACTCGGTCCTTATGGAGTAAAGCATACTGGAGACAGGCGTGCAGTTTCAGAAAGTGTCTCCCCAGATGTTGATATTCCTTCACTGAGGAGGTATAATGATGAGCAAACCCTTGAGAATTTCCGTAACAACTTGCATGAGTGCTGCATTTGTTTCTCGGAGTACCCAGGTAGAATATCTACTCATCCCGTTTCTATACAGTTAGGTTTCCACATTCAGCATCGACTATATGCATCTCGTTTATTTCCCAAAACTCATATCTGATTTACTAATCTTATAAATATATGTACTACCAAGCATAATTTTTTGTAAACTGATGCATCGCCTTTTTTTGTGATTACATTGACCAGGCAGTGACTTTTTCAGACTACCATGTCAGCATTTCTTCTGCCGGAACTGCATCAAGACTTATTCCGACTTGCATGTTTCAGAAGGCACTGTGAATAAACTCCTGTGTCCTCAGTCAAAATGTGGGGGTATGGTACCACCTGGTCTATTGAAACAGTTACTCGGCGATGAAAAGTATGAACGCTACGAGTCCTTGTTGCTACAGAAGACGCTCGAGTGTATGTCAGATGCTGTGTATTGCCCAAGATGTGAGTTTGTCTGCATTGAAGATGACGACAATTTCGCTCAGTGCTCCAAGTGCTTCTTTAACTTTTGCTCTCTTTGCAAGAATGCACGCCATGTAGGTGAACCTTGCCTGACCCCAGAGTTGAAGCTTCAATTATTGGAGGTATGTTATCTAGCCCTTTCTTTCTTTCTTTTTTCTCATTTCAGGTTGTTGATGAAACTAAAGCCCTCATTTTTCTACGTTCTGGGCTTCACAGATGCGCCTCAAGTCTTCTCAAATTAGCTCAACTCAGAGGCTTGCAGAACAAAATAAGATCAACGAACTTTTGAGTGAGAAGGAAATAGCTCGAGATGCCAAGCTTTGTCCACATTGCAAAATGGCAATTTCGAAGACCGAGGGCTGTAACAAGATGGTTTGTGGTAGCTGTGGGAACTACTTCTGTTACCTCTGTAACAAAGCCATCACAGGATATGAACACTTCAGGTAATAACCCTCCAGTTACTCGAACGTGAATAGAGGTGGCAAATGGATTGTGTTGAAATGGGTTGTGTGTGCTGCTAGATTAATGATATTATCTGGAAAATTGTAATCGGGTTAGATGTGTTTAAATGGGTCTGGTTGATATTTGCCACTGTCTAAATGAAGTGTAGACTCCAATGTACTCTCTATGTACCCTTGCAACTTTTTGGAGCAAACTGACTGGTGTCGTTTTGAAGGGATGGAGCCTGTGAACTATTCTCACAAGAAGCTATTCAGCAGTGGGAGGCGCAGATGAATATGCGTCAGACTGTTGGTCGGGTTCGAGCTGAACTCAACCTTGGTGAAGCTCACTCGTGTCCTAATTGTGGTCAACGGAATGCCAAGGTTCGTAGTAGGAGGATGTTTGATATCCTGGTTTATGGTTCCTCGATGAATCCTACTTCTTGCTTATAACATGCACTGTTAATTCTATCACGCAGACGGACAATAACAATCACATATTCTGCTGGGCATGCCAAAAGCACTACTGTTACTTGTGTCGCAAGGTTGTGAAGCGTAGCAGTGAGCATTACGGCCCGAAGAAATGCAAGCAGCATACAGCTGGATAGCCTTCAAGTTCAGTCATTCCCAGTTGGACGATTCCTTCCGGTTCTTTCACGAACACACACACACAAAAACGGGTTTTCGCTTCTGCTAATATTGTGGTTAACTGGTTGTTTTACGCTTTAACATTTGATTAGTTTTATCTTAATAAGTTAGAGGAGAGCATACAAGTGGCATTTGTCACTACTACTTGAAGTCGATTGCTATTTAATCCATATGCGCACTTGTCTTCCTCTGCCTAGAAGTTTGATGATGAGTCAGTAAATGAGTGTGAGAGAGATGGAGCCTCTGCTTGCCTGCTTGCCTAGAAGCTTGGGTTGTGGAAACAGTGGAAGTACTCGTCTGATTGGATAGTATATATAGTTCATTTAAACTATAATTCATGTATTTTTTATGGGTTCCAGACAATGAATTTTCAAAACCACACATTCTTAGTATACACATAATCTTAATACGCATACTCGTAATACATAATTTTCAGAATCAAAGGTTCCAAACGATCCCTTAATGAATTTGTGGTGTGCTTTTATAAATTTGTGTTCGCTTTTCTACGATTTGTGGAGCTTTATGTGACTTGTGGTATGCTTCATGAGACTTGTGGTCTACTTCAGTAAACTTCTAATCTACTTCAAGAAACTTGTGGTGTGTTTTATGTAAATCCTGGTCTACTTTGAGAAACTTGTGGTATGTGAAGTTGTGGTGCAGATTTTGTAATGTGCATTTGGTGGTTCCCCTTCCCCTCCTACATTTAATGCCTAACCCACGTTGGTCACCTATTCCTTCCCCAGTTTTCCAGAATACCAAGCGTATCTCTCCTTCCCCTTTTCGACATTAAAATTGTGATCAATTCATCTAAATTAAAAAAGTCATCAAACGAAATGTTCCTATTGGCTAGAGTTAGTGTTAGCATTCTAGCCCTCCCAATAATTAGTGTTTACCCTTAATTAAAACTCTTGGTATTAATTTATATGTGCTAAATTTTGATGGCCTTAGATAAACTGACTAATCTCAGCCCGCCACCCGGCCGCAGGGCTCAAGATAGAGTAAGTAACCTTAGGGTGCTTAACATGAGTAATCAAATCTGGACCCTTACTTTTAAGTGGACTGCAGATCTAAGGGTTAAGAATTAAAGACATTTTATGTCCCCTACTTTTTTTAATCGAATCATAATTTTTGCGTTATAACTTGGATTTCAATTTTTTTACACAGATTGAACGAGTTTGTCGTGCTTTACAAAATGAGATCCATTTTTATTATTTTTTGAGAAAAAAATTCTACCTTTCGTGACCAACTCCATATCATATGGTATCTTCCTCATTTTTAAGTCGTTTTTGAAAAAAAATTCATAGAAGAAATGAGTTCATCATGATCTATTGGATATACAAATTTTGAGTGAACAAAATACGAGACCAAAAAGTACCATATAATACCACCCTGGTACGGAGGGTGGTATCTTGTGGTACACAACGTTGAAAGTAGTAAATGACAGTTGGTATACTCTTACAATCATGTATTCAACTACCATATGGTATGTTCTTATTTTAATACCAATCAATACCACCATGGTATAGACTCATAAATAATGCATCAATTTTTTGTTTAAAAAATATATCAAAGTGGATATCATTTTGAAGAGCACAATTAATCTGATTTATCTGTGAAAAAAATTTGAATTCCGACTTAAATGAGAGAGAAATCGTCCGTTAAAGATTAAAGAAAAAAAGATTTAAGGCTTTCCAGAAGAGAGAGTGTGCTAATATGGCGTATTCTAATTGAATTATGCATGGTTATTGACTATAGAGTTAAATTCCAATTTGGTTAAATGACACATTTGGTCACTGGGATTACTAAATCGTGTTATGTTTAGTCACTAGAAAAAATTAATATCAATTTTGGTCACTCGAATTACTAAACAAGAACACATTTAATCACTTTCCCGTTAGCCTCCGTCCAACTCTGGTCACTTGAATTACTTTTTTTTTATGAATGTCACTCGAATTACTGAAACATGTCACACTTAGTCATTCTTCTTTTCTGGCGTCATTAGTCGCCGAAAAATCTCTTTCTCTCCCACAAAAAATGACTCTCTCTGCCGCACCAAAAATGGTGGGACTAATAAATGGTGGCGTAGGAGATGCACACCGCCGGAAAATCCTGGACGGCGGGAAGGACGTCGGAAATTCTGGTTGGCTGCGGGGCGGGGAGGACGAGACGTGTCTGAGACTGTTTTAATTATTAATTTAGGGGTCGTTTGGAAGTTGTGATTGTTAGTGTTGTATTTGTTAAATACATGCATTGTCCACAATATAACGTTTGGAAGTGTCAAGTTGCAAAACAATGCATGTATTGTTTTGTGTGGGTCCCACCAACAATCAACAAAAATGAGGGATTGTACAATCTCAACTAAAAGTTGAGATTGTTGTGATTGTTGGTTTAATAATTGAGCACCTCTACTTTTTCCAATTATGTCCATAGTTCTTTTTGTTTTATATTAAAAGTGGAGGACAAATATGACATTTCCTTATAAAGTAACTTTATAACAATCAATTCATAAATTATAATTTCAACAACCAAACAATGTAATTTCAAAATGCATCTATTGTATCAATGTATGCATTTATATCATAGTGATTCATAACAATACAACGATTTAACATACGCAACTTCCAAACGACCCCTTAGTGTTATGTGTCAATTTAGGCAATCTTGACCCGTTTAGTTTAGGTTTGAAGTTAGGGGTATATGTGTCAATTTAGTGTGATTTAGGAAGATTTTTTTTAGGCAAAATACATCTGTATAGCCATAAGTTTCACGTTTTTGACAAATATAGCCATAACTATTCGAAAACCAAAAATAGCCCAAAAAACTGAGGGTAGTGTGACAAATCTAGCCAAATCCGTTAGAAACTTTAACGGTGTTAGAAACTCCGTCAGTTAGATTGACGTTAGGCTGACTAGGATGCCAAATCGTCGGACACGTCAGCGACCAGTCATCAAATCATTGCCATGTCATTTTGAATTACAATATTAATTAATTTTAAAATTATAAAAAAAAACACAAAATATTTTTTCTAACTCTCCTCCCCCGCAACAATCTTCTGCCCAAATCCCTTTCCCTCTCCTCCTCCAACCATCTCTCTCTTCGCTTCCTCTTCCTCCTCCTTTCCCTCTCCACTCCCAACCACCTCTCCATCCCCTAAATCCCTAATCTTGTACCTCTCCTCCACCTACCGCCCTGCTCTCTGCTCCCTCGCCGTCTCCACCAGTTGCCGAGACTGATTCTCAATCTTCTCAACCTACCGCCCTGCTCTCTGCTCCCTCCCTTCTTCTCCCCCAGAATCAAGAAACCCAGCTCATCAAATCCAACCCAATCGAAACCCAGATTCAAGAAACAGAAGCTATCATTTTCTATTAACTCTGCCGCCACACCTGCCGTCGTCGCCTTCTTTGCCGTTCACCAACGCATGCTAACTCGTCTTCGGCTCTGTTCGTCGCAACATAGGGTTTCGCGTACACAATCAGATCTGCATTCAGAGAGGAATCCGAAATTAGAAGAAGAATTGATTTTCCCCCAACAACCCTTTCCCCAATCAAAAGAACCCTAACCACCACCAATAATGGCGGCAGCACCTTCTGCCCCCTTGCTTCTTCTCGATTCAAGCTCGACGGCTATCTGGGAAACGGGAAGCCAAATCGATTGATGAAGAATCTACTCGATTCAGTGCCAACTCTGCGAGACCCTTCCCCTTCCTCCCTTTGCTTCGTCACCGTCACGGCCAGAGCTCCCCGACTCCATCTCAGCCACCGTCAATCCTCCACCCTTTATACCCCCAGCTCCCCACACAGCAGAGAAGAAGCTGGTCGCCCAGCGACAGAGCTTCTCGTTTCACGCCTGGGATAGAGTCGAGGGTTGAGATGCAACGAGGCTGTTGGCTTGAGTTTTTCCGATTCGGAATCGATGGCAGATATAAATTCATTCAGAAGGGTTCGAGGCTGTTGGCTTGGTTCCACCGGCTCTGTTCGTCTTCTTTTTCGTTGAAGGTAAGGAAGTAGGCGACGGCGGCTAGGGGTCGGAGAGAGCGGAAGAGGGGCTGAGACCAGTGAGAGGAAGCGACAGCGGAAGAGAAGGAGATTGGAAGAATCGGAGGCAAATTAGGAGGGAATAAGAGGCGGTGGAAGAAATCCCAATTCAGGGGAAAATATTTTTTTGTTTTTTTTTATTTCAATTTTTTTTGTTAATCCACGTCAGTTAGTGGGGACAATAAATCGCCAGATCAGCATCTTTCGTTAGTACAGTCATACCGTCAACTGACGCCGTTAACAAAATGGACGGAATTGGTTATTTTTGGTTTTCGAATAATTATGGCTATATTTGTCACAAACGTGAAAGTTATGGCTATACAAGTGTATTTTGCCTTTTTTTTAAAATGTTTTCACTATGAATAGCGATTCAGTTGGAAATCTGTTTGAGAGAAGTGCGCCCTGCGAAATAAATTCCAAATCCGAACCAGAAAGAGTAGAGAATCAATAACCGTCATCAAGGTTCGGCTGCTCTGAAAACCTAAAAATACCAAAATCCGTCGAAGTTCATGGCTGAACTGATTGCCGTCGTTGTGATCTCAAATTCGGCAACTGCTAGCGTTTCTGTTTCTCGTGAACTTTGCTTCCAGCGCTATGATTCCTCTCTAGTCGGAACGCCGTCGAGGTCGCCGCCTGATCAACCCACAATTTAATTTAGGTTCTCTTCTCGGCCGGCGAGGCAGCTTTGAAGTAGCAATATGCCGAGAGTGGACATCAAAGACTCTGGCATCGGTTCCCCTCACCTGCCTGAATGCCCCAAAGCCCCTACCAAACGGCCGAATCGTCGCCGGAAGGCGTCCAAGAAGCCTGTCGGGAAGTCTGAGCTGGTGGACGGTGTTCAGGATGGCACCGGTGAGACTGGTACTTTGGGTTTGGATAATGATGGACCGATTTCGCCGAGAGTTGAGATGTGCAAAGGTTTTCCGAGCTCAGGGGAAAGCCCGGCAACTGAGAAGGGTAATCTGTTGGAGTCAGATAACAGGGCGAGTGAGATTGAGAACGATATCGGCGGCGAAGAATCATCCACTGGCGTGGTTGATGTTATGAGAGTGTTGGAGGAGTTGCAGTTGGCCGTGGATGAGCCGGAGCTGTCTGCTGATCAGCTCAGAATCAACGATCAGTTGCAGGAAGATGAGGTAAAACGGTGCTGGTTTACTAGTTTGACTCCTTATTACTTCGACGTCTCTGGAAAAGATTTCCTAGTTTTGCTTTTGACATTTCCATGGCTTCTTTCTTTCGTAACTTTTCCTGTAGTTACTTGCAATGGAGTCTATTTATGGAGAAAATGTCATCATTCTTGACAGGGAGAGAGGTTTGAGAGCTTTCGAGGTACACTCACTCACTCACTCACTCACTCACTCACTCACTCACTCACTCACTCAGTACACCAATGAATTGACAAAGTTCGTGGGATGATTGAATGGATTGAAGATTCTTATGACATTGTAATGTTGCAGGTTCGTATTGAACCTAAAATTCCTGATGAATTTACGATAACCACGAAACTTCATTCATCTGGTGAGATGAAGACGGCTAGCTCAAGTACTACAGATGAGTTCTCTTATTCATTCAGAGTCAAGTTTGTTCCACCAATTGTGCTGACATGCTTATTCCCAAAATCATACCCAAGCTACAAGCCTCCACATTTCACCATTTCTGTTCAATGGTTGGATTGTCCTAGAATTGCAACTCTTTGTTCTGTGCTGGATTCGTTATGGATGGAACAACAAGGGCAAGAAGTTATGTATCAATGGATTGACTGGCTTCAAAGCTTTTCTCTCCCTCAGCTTGGTATTCATCAAGAGATCATACTCGGTCCTTATGGAATAAAACATATCGGAGACAGGCGTGCAGTTTCGGGAAGTGTCTCCCCGGATGTTGACATTCCTTCACTCAGAAGGTATAATGATGAGCAGGTCCTTGAGAATTTCCTTAATGATTTCCATCAGTGCAGCATCTGTTTTTCCGAGCATGCAGGTAAAAAGCTCCCCCCCCCCCCCCCCCCCCCCCAAATGAATTATGCCTATAGGACTAAGGACTAGAGAGAATTGAAAAACATCATTAGAATTAGAAAATAACATTCTTCCTACATTTCAACTGACAGGAAATCAATTTGTGCTGTGAAATATCTTGTTTAGCTGTTTTGGTCTCATGTAAAGAAACGAGGGCATTATGACTTCGGACGATCTTGTACTCACTATGCATTATTACCATGAATTTATATTTCTTTGTTGCTCTGTTGATCACATTCAGTAGGTTTGTTTCCCAAAATTCAGCATTGAATACAGTATTTCCCAATGTTTTGATCTTACTTAGTAACCTTATGCATCTATGTGCTTACCAAGGAAGAGTGACCCATCAATTTTGTGTCATTTCTTTGACCAGGCAGTGACTTTGTTAGACTACCGTGTCAGCATTTCTTCTGCCGGAACTGCATGAAGACTTATTCTGACTTGCATGTTTCAGAAGGCACATTGAATAAACTTCTATGTCCAGAGTCCAAATGCGGGGGTATCATACCACAGGGTCTATTGAAAGAGTTGTTGGGTGATGAAAAATATGAACACTATGAGTCTTTGATGCTACAGAAGACACTCGATTGTATGTCTGATGTTGTGTATTGCCCAAGATGTGAACTTGTCTGCATTGAGGATGAAGACCATTGTGCCCAGTGCTCTAATTGCTTCTTTAGTTTTTGCTCTCTTTGCAAGAATAAACGCCATATAGGTGAAGCCTGCCTAACGCCAGAGTTAAGGCTTCAAATATTGCAGGTATATGTAGGGCTCAAATCATTCTAGATGTTCCAAAAATCACGACTCATTCTGACACCTTTATCGCTCTCTTTATGTGTTGTTTGATGAAACTGATACCTTGTTCTTCCATTCTGGGCAATAGGAGCGCCTCAAGTCCTCTCGAAGCGTGGCTCAAATGCGTGTGGAGCAAAATAAGATCAATGAGTTTCTGAGCGAGAGTTACATAGCTCGTGATTCTAAGCAATGCCCAGTTTGCAGAATGGCAATTTCAAGAACTGGCGGATGCAACAAGATGGTTTGTGGGAACTGTGGGAACTACTTTTGTTACCGTTGCAACTTATCCATTGACGGATATGACCACTTCAGGTAACCCCCCTACTAACTTGAAAGAGTGTGGAACTGATTTTTATCTCCTTACATTGCTCTATGGACAAACTGATGGGTAGACATTTTGAAGTGGTGGAGAGTGTGAACTATTCCCGGCTGAATCAATTCGCCAGTGGGAGCAGCAGATGAATAATCGTCAGGCTGGAGGGGTGGTTCGAGTTGAAAACATTGGTCATCCTCACAAATGTGCTAGTTGTAATCATCAGAATTGGAAGGTTAGTGATGTGTGATTCCTGAAGTTCGGTTCAGGATGGACTTATTTGTGGTTAATTGCTAAATTCTCTTATTGGAAGCTTAGTTCAACTCGGGGGGAAAAGTTTCCTTGATGATGCCTGGTTTTACTCATGTATTGTATTGTGTTGTGCAGATAGACAATAACAATCACATTTTCTGCTGGAAGTGCAAAAAACACTACTGTTATTTATGCCGGAATGTTGTGAAGCGCAGTAGTGACCATTACGGAGGACCCAACAGATGCAAGCAGCATACAGCTGGATAGCCTTTCGAATTTGGCCTCTGTGGTTCATGACCCAACATCAGCTCCAGGTATAGGGCTTCTTTCATGAAGGTACACTGAAACACCGTAAAGAAATTACAGCCAAGTTAGAGGGAGTTTTTGTTTTATAATAAGAGAGAGATTATATTTGCTTCCACAGTTGTCAATAACTCATTAGTTACACTAAACATTTAAGTTGCATTTGTTGATACAGATCTTTTACTCGGATGGATTTTTGCAAGTATGTTACTTTGTGGCCATTTGATATGCTTTATGTTGCTGCTAGTGTTCCCATTTGATCTGCAGTTCTTATCTTCCTTTCAGGTTTTACTGTTGTTTCTTGCTGCCTTTCTTTGAATCCTTGCCCTTTGCCTCCCCTTCTTCCCCTCTCTCTTCCTCTTACCTAAAAAAGTTATACAAAACCAAATCCCAGATGAAGAACATTGTTGGATGGAATTAGATTAGACAAAAGCCTAATGGAAATTATGATGGTTTGAATCTAATTGTATAAGAGTTACGCTTTAATGATGTCTCACTAAGCGTAAGAGTATACGATATGAGCACTTGTTTGTGAAGATGAGATCGAGCAAGGTGGCGATGAAGAAGAGGGTAGCACATATTGGAAAGACTAAATGTTGGGAAAGTCAAGGATGGCGAGTCATCTTATGTTTATGCCTTATATCGTGCTAAGTTATGGTGGTTAGAAAGTGTTGTCACAACACGAAACCTCAAAACTATATTGTTTTTGTTCTGCTATAAAAAAAAAAGGAAGGGTTAGGCTACCACCAAGATGAGATCCACCTTAATGTTTTCGAGAACTACTTGAAGGACAAACTACCACTGCTCGTCATTTTCGTGCGTTCACCCAGACATACAATAGTATTTTTTTTTATGAGGATGATGAACTTTTATTAAATAAGAGAAAGGGAAAGGGTACAAAGATGGGATCATCACTTCACAAGCAGTGAGAGTGATCGATAATTTGAACCCAGCAAAAACAAAGGAAAAACAAAGAGACAAAACATAAAGAGGCAAAAATAGCACCACAAAGATGCACAGATCCAATCGCTTAAGAAACTACTACAACAGATCACACAAGCAAAATCTGAAGCATCGCAGCCATCCAAAACAGCAGAACACAGCCTGCCGATAATGACAGCAGAGAAAACCCCATCCAAGGGGAGTCCATGGACAACCTACGAGGTCCAAGTTCTCAGCCAGTTTTTACCCTGCTCTTTATCGACTTTGTCGCGAATCATACTCCAATAAAGGACAGACCTCGCTACCCTGTGGGAGATAACTTTGGGGCTGCAATGTAGCTGTTGGAAGATCCTACGATTCCTTTCGTTTCACACATTCCAGCAAACAACATGCAACAAGCAGCTCAAACTGCAATCCATGAAATTGTTCTTATCACCTTGCGGCCAGCTACTCATGACTTCTGACAAATCACCGGCAGGGCTAATAGTTCTACCCATCAGCTTGGACACCTCAATCCACACGATTGAAGGTGGATTACTTCATAAATGATGGTATGGGTGTCTATAGCTACTCAGTTGGTGGTCAAATATACCACCAAACATGACAAAGAAATCCATACTCCTCCCTCCAAGAACGCTATGTTGACTCATAAATATATGCTGCATACATGGTCGCAACAATAATAGTTGCTAGAAATCGGAAGTCGTGCTTCATAGCGGACATGTGAACAACGAAAAAACGATATGGTGCTATTACTTGTAAATTGTAATAGGAACGAAGTAAAAAAAAAAAGAATAAAATATAAATAGATAAATTAGTTGTTTGCACTAACAGCTTCGTCCTTGCCGGTGGAGATATCCAAACTTTAGCATCTTGTCAATCCTGCTAGTAAATGAGTTAGAGGTTAAATTGAGAAGAAGAAAAACATGAAAAGAGGATAGTATTTCATGCATAGATTGGTGGAGAGAATGGCTACATTCCTTGGTTTTCTCTCTTTTTGTCCCTCTTATGTTGTTATTTGTTCTTCACAAATTGTAATTCAATTCCTTGTTCTCTCCTTTTGTTTCTTCTCTAGACTCATTTCACTTATTTAGTCTTCCTTCCTATTTCTCTTCATTCTTCCTTCTTTCTATCGAATATGGTGATTGTGACTCATCAAAAATAAAAGAGGAAGAAACGATAGGAAGTTGTAGAGGGGTTCGAAATTGAGAATGGTGATAGATTCTCCTGCATGCAAATCTCCCCATCCCTTTGGGGCTTGCACGAGTGAATTCAGTACCGAATTTATCCATATAACTTTTCAAGATCTTTCAATCTGCAAGAAGACTTCGTCTAAAAAAATGTCGTTTGTTACCCCGAACGAGCAATTTTTCGATTTTGCCAAACTTTGGAAAGACATAACTTTTAGCTCTTTAATCCGAACGTCGTAAAGTTTATTTTTTTTTATTGCGCATAACTTTTAAAGAACTACAACTTTGACTAGGAAATCATTCTGAGTCGACCCATTTGTCAGGTCTATCTAGAACATGCGTTAACATGCTGTCAAATTTAGTATTCATTCTATGTATAACATGAACTATCCTAAAGAGGAAGAGAAGAACAACAAGATAAAGCAATATTGTTTGTGAAATTGTAGCAATTTGTTGGTACAGGTTCAACCATGATTGGCGCAATCCTTTTTTAGATCCGGAATCGCTAGTGTCACTGCTTCAATCTCAAGTACGATTCCATACATATCGAAACAAGAAAAGAACAAGGTGGAGTGGTCGGTAAGGAAACTTGATTCTTAGCATCCTAGAAGCTTAAGAGGTCTGATCTGTGGCCATTTGATCTGCTTTTTGTTGCTGCTAGTGTTCCCATTTGATCTGCAGTTCTTCTCTTCCTTTCTGGTTTTACTGTTGTTTTTGCTGCTGCCTTTCTTTGAATCCTTGCCCTTTGTCTCCCCTTCTTCCTCTCTCTCCTCCTCTACCTAAAAATAATGTTATACAAAACCAAACCCAAATGAAGAACATTGTTGGATGACATTAGATTACACAAAACCCTACTGGAAACTATGATGGTTTGAATCTATTATAAAAGAGTTAACACTTTAATGATGTCTCGCGCTGAGCGTAAGAGTATACAATATGAGCACTTGCCTGCTGAAGATGAGATCGAGCATGGTGGTGATGAAGAAGAGGGTGGCGCGGATTGGAAAGGCTGAATGTTGGGAAAGACGAGGATGGCGTCTGGCTTCTGGACCCTGCCGCGGTGGTGGTAGAGGAGGTGGAGGTGCTGCCTCCTCCCGATGTTTGAGATGAACTAGCAGAGGTGTTGGTTGACTCCATCTCTAGACATAACTGAACAAATGAAATGAATAAACCACACATGAACAACGACGCGAGCTCGCGAGATCGAGAAATTTGTATAAAGAATTTCAGAAACTGATGTTTCAGATAGTCTTTTTCATATCGATATTAACAGTTAGTCTCTGCACAAGGCATCCAAATATTTTGCATCCAGTGTTATTCAAGTTGAGCGTATAGTGTCATGAACCAGTTGCTCCCAATAACTCGAGTTGTTGGGAGAAGGTTACGCTGGATCTTATACCACTCTCTAACATGCCCCCTCAAACGAAAGCCAACCCACGGGCTTGAAGTTTGCACAGGCCCACCATACCATGTGCTTGAAAGACAACAGTTAATATTGGGGGTCGTGGAGATTCGAACACATGACCTTTTGGTTCTAGGCTCTGATACCATGTTAAGAACCAGTTGATTCCAATAACTCGAGTTGTTGGGAGAGGTTCAATCGTGGATCATATACCACAACACTAACATATAGAATGTAACTTTTGAGCTATTCGGAAGTCAGAACCTGGAAAAGCCGGTGTTCGAGAGAAGCGACACGATCCATCAAAGAGCCCTTGAAATAAGCCTCCCTCATTGCCACTTCCAACATTGCTGCAGTTTGCTGCTTTGCTGCCTCTCCTCCTCCTCCTCCTACTCCCTTTTGCGTGTTTTGTTTCCCTTCCAAGTACTTCATCTTCAACGGAAAATTCAAGGGCAACACAAAGGAAAAACAACTTGTTTTCATGAATTCGTCATTCGAAATGGAAGCAAATCAAATCTGCCGTATATAAGTTGTCCATTCGAAATATTTAACTCTATAGATCAATTGATAACTCGAAATCCTTATCACTAAGTCGCGTTCTTTCTTCGACTAACTTGTAACAAAGGAATCCATAAATCAGAAGGGGGGGCAAAAAAAAAAGAGAGGAGGAAACTCACAAGGGAATCCAAGTGATCCAATCTGGAAACAAGAGGGACAGGGAACTGATGATTAGCAGCTGTCTGCTGCTTGTGTTGTTGAACTCTGTTGGCTCCTCCTTCTACCTGCATTATTGCTGCCATTAACTTGATCTAATCACTAATGACAGATCTCTAAGATTCTGTTTTCTGAGAGTTCTTTTTTTTTTCCCCCTCTCTAAAGTTTACTCAAAGCTTTACTTGTGGTAAATGGTTATTGATCATCATTATTATCATCACTGTCATTATCATTATTAATCAAGCAAGTTTTGTGGTGAAGTTTGACAATTTCAGACTCCTCCCTTCCTATTTCTGGTAATTTATGATAGCTTCCCCTAAACATATGCTAATTAGGCCCTAATTTGAGAGCTGAAGAATAAATCAAAATTTGGTAATTGGAGCAGTATAGTCTTCACGCCAGAGTTTTTTTTTTTTGCCTCATCACTCGGACAACACTAATTTGAGAGATGAATAAATAATCATAAGGAAAATAGGGTCCGTAGACACACCCTCAATTTTGGGTATATTACTTTACAGTTTACAGTTGCATACTTATAATCATAAATTTGACCATCCAATTCATCCTGGAACAATTTTGATTTTAGTTGTATAACAATTAACTATAAAAATGTGTGAATCTATGCAAAAATTATTTACAATTTACTAGTATATTTAAGTATTTTTGAAACTTGCTCGATACAACTCAAAAAATTCATCTAACGAACATTACAAGGGCAACATTATGTAAAAATGTACCGCTAGTTGTAATTCTAGGTTTATATAACCATATTGAACAAATGTACAACGAAAATTCAAATTTGATTACTAGTCTTTTTTATATAAAAACAACAGCCAAAATTAATAAAAAAGAATTGTAACCGAAGGTTGTACTAGAAAATCGTTTATACCGCTAAAGCAGCCTACCAATTAGGATTCAGGTAGGCGGTTTTTCGACAGGACAGCCGCTAAGTTACGGTTTTGCAAAGCAATACACTGAATAATAGTGTAAAATAACAATAGACATGCCCAACAAAATAGCATTCTCCGGTCACAGTACAATTTAGGGGGTGTAAGTTTGACCCTTAAAACCCACTGACCCGCCTCGACCCGCCCCGACCATCAGGGTCGGGCTGGGTCAGTTTGTCTACAGGGTCAATTTAGGGTCGGGTCACTTTTTGACCCTATGACCCTTAGCATCATACAAACACGTTGGACCTATTTGTAAAATTTTAAAAGTTTAGGTACTAAATTGTAAAAATTAAAAATTTTGGGTACCAAAATATAATTTTACCATCAAATTTTAGGGACTTATTTGTAAAAAGAATAAAATTTAGGTACTAAAATGTAAGAAAAAATAAATCCGGGTACCAAATTGTAATTTTTAGAAAAGTAGTCTATTTATTAGGGTCGACCCACTGACCCGACCCTTCTTAACCCGCCCCGACCCTAAAGGGCCAGACAGGGTCATAAAAGAAACAGGGTCGGGGCGGGTCAGTTATACATCTTGATCCTTTAGGGGCGGGTCATACAGTGTCAGGGGCGGGTCAGGCCAATTTCCAGCCCTACAGTACATCATATGATCTTTGCTGTTAGATTAAATATCAATTTGATCAGCAAACTCACTTCTATGTGTCGCATAGGCTACTAATTTCAGTGTAGTAGACCAAAGCAATAATCCACAAAAAACAAGGTTATTGCAGTTGATGAGCAATGAATTTCCAAAACCCCTAATTGCATTCCCAGCGAATCCTATTGCTGCTGATAAAAACATTACCAATGGAAGAAAAAAAAAGAGGAAAATAATTCGTATTTTATGAGAGAACCTTTTTCATTTAATGACACTAAATGCTAGAGGAGAGTTTTAAAATTCAGCAACAAGCAATGTGATCCAACAAGTAATCCCAAGTTAGTTCACCTTAACTTCATCAATCGAATCATCCCAGGCTAGACTTGGTGACCTCGTACGCCAAGAAGCACGCTGCATTCGCAGGGATGCTACGTACCATGGCAGGACCGAAGCCTTTGTACAACCCCTTTACACCTTCTGCAGCCAGAATCTTCTTGAACGCATCCACGGACCCGGAGAACTTGGGTTTACTGAAATCGTCGACCTGAAGGGCACTTTTCACGACGTCTGTAGGGTAGACCAAGAGCCAGAGGGATGCCCCAGCAAGGCCTCCAGCCAGCATCAGGGAACCTCTGCCTAGCTTGGACGTGTCCTCCCCACCTGCCATCGTCTGCTTCAGCAGCTCGTAGACTCCAAACATGGTCGCATTGCCAGGAATCTCACGGGCCATGGTGGGGAACAAACCTTTGAACAGGCCCCTCGTGCCGCCTTCTGATCTCAGGATTTTTTTGGCTACGTCCATTGGCCCGCTGTACTTCACTGCCAAGGTGGCTGCAGATGAGTCAGCCACTGCTAGTGCACTTTGTGCTTGCAACCTGTTTGTTGCCAAAGAACACGAATTTGGTGAACGTGAAGATTTGATGGCAGAGTAATCTTTGTCAAGGCTAAGAACTTGTTTGGAAGCCATAGGCAATGTTTCCAACTTCCCATTCTTTGTATCCTTATGGTTTATGGATAACAGTGATAAAGGTCGAAAGTGTCTACTCCAAAGTTCAGTGGCATGTCCATCAAAAATCAAAGTTCAGTGGTTGAAACTTCAGCATTAAGGGACCCATTCAATCAACCCCAACTAAAAAGAAAAGACACAATATTCACCTAGTGTCTGATTCTACACCTAGCTGTCATAAACAATCACATTTCTCATAATAGACTACACATTCATGGAAAGCTTGCACCAATGCAACCATATTACTAACCTGCACTTGATCAACTCAGTAGGACAAGCAAGAATAGAGACTGCCAATCCAGCTCCAGCACCACAAACAACCTGCTGGCCAATGGTGAGCGTGCCACCAGGTTCTGATCTTAGCAGAGCCTCCATTTGTCCCCGTACAGTGAAAAGCACAGCATTGAAAGCAGCAACTGTGGCTAGAGGAGCTCCCATGCCTTTGTATAGTCCACCGGCGCCTTCAGCTGATATAGTCTTCTTCACTGCATCAATAGCACCTGCATACTTTGGAGGCTGTCCGGGGAGTGGAACAGGCTGGCTTTGGAGCTTGACTTTAATGGTGTCAAAAGGGTGGCCAACTACCAATTGTGCTGCCCCTCCTACTGTCCCTGCAGCCAAATCCTTGGCAACTTCTCCCATCTGCAGAATAATATTCAAGTTAAGTCAACCTTACAGGAAGAGGCATTCTACGTATTGTGTGAATGGAGTTGAAGGACACTTAGAATCAAGTTGCAACAGGAGAATACAACCAATGAAGGATCAAATGAACAAAACCAGCTTGATCAAAGAGTTCATATTGGAAGATTTTCCACCACAAACCACTGTGAATGCATAAAATTTGGCCACTCACACAAATATTTGTGCTATTAACACAACAGTAATTTTTTTAAAGGGTAAATACAATTTAATATCCAAACCTTTTATTTTAAACAATATAATAGCCAAACCTTTTCGAAAACAATATAATATCCAAATCGTCAACTTTCCGTCCGTTTGACCGTTGGTTGACACTTCAAAAAAGCTATGTTTAGGGGAAATTGTCACAATACAACTTTGTTTTCTTGTTTTGGCATTGCAGATGACTGAATATTTAGATATTCTATACCAACATGGTGGAGTCATGGACTTCTCGGGTTTGGAACCACTTCGAACTTTTTGAAGTGTCAACTAACGGTCAAACGAACGAAAAGTTGATGATTTGGATATTAGATTGTTTTCGAAAAGGTTTGGTTATTATATTGTTTAAAATGAAAGGTTTGGATATTAAATTGTATTTACCCTTCGAATTGTGGAGTACAAAGTTATGATCTTCCAAAGTTTGTCAAAATTGAAAATTTGCTCGTTCGGGGTAGCAAATGATTTTTTTTTTGGATGAAGTCTTATTTCAGATTGAAAGATCTTGAAAAGTTATATGGAATCAAAAAAAATTTCGCTACAATCGGATAACCGAGCGCAAAGTTACGTTTGTTTGAAGTTTCAGTGTTACGTCAGCCATTCACCGCGGCCGTCAACCGCGGTGATGCATTCACCGCTTTGGTCTGCCGCGGTGAATGCATTTACTGCAGTTGACAACAGCGGTGATGCCCAAACATGTGTATTTTGGGGAAAAAAAATTATAACGTGTGTATTTTGGGAATTTTTTTAAAAAACATGTGTATTTTGGGATTTTTTCCCAAACTTTTTTAACTAAGTAGCGTCATTTTATTTTATAATAAACAGTAACGGGTAGAATGCAAATGCACAGTCAAAGGTAAAGGATAGCTAACGAATAAATAGATAAACCAATCCCAGATTCCAGATTTTCAACGAAACAGAACATGAGAATGAATCACACCTTCTAAATCGATGAACCCACCAAAAAACCAGAGTCGATCAAAACCGATAGATTTGGAGCCTTCAACCAGATGATCCAATGTAACAAAGAACGCAAATTCAACATTAGACGGGGGGAAAACATCAATCGTCATCCCAACCCAGAATCATGAAGGGGGGAAAAGAAAGGCAGAGTCGGCCGAAGCGCTACCAAAATCACTACAGGTGAGAGATGGCTTTACGGTAGAAGGAAGAGAGTGAAATGGCGAGTGAAAGGATTACGAACCTAGTGGGGAAGAGGTTGACAGCCACAAAAGGGTTAGAACCTGGAGAGTGAGTGGAGACAAGAAACGCCCAGCCACAACAACCCGACGATTCTGGAAGAGAAACTGGCGATGGCGATTGGGCGTTTGGTTTTCTTGAAGATGTGAGTTGTTGATGTCCCAACAAAACATTTCCTAGTTGCGAGTAAAGACAAGTGAATTATGGGGATGAGGTTGGTGAGTGATCTATCGGACTAACTCCAACCCAAAAGGCTATATTTAGCCTCCCAAGCTCTCAAATGTGTATTTTTGCCTCCTCAAAACACTTTTTTGCTCTAATCCTATAGGCTTCCAAATTTAGCTTCCCACATCTTTTTTTTATTTAATTTCCATAAACCATACTTATTTACAATATCATTCTTGTAATTCACTTTAATTTTTTTATAGTTTGTTATTACTTTTGAAAACAAAATTTCCAATGTAAATTTTTTATAATTCCGAGATTTATTTTTTGCAAAATTAGTCATTTTTTGTAGTCGTTACTTTATGACCATTTTTTTTTACCAATCCAAATATGACCTTTTTTTAGCCGTTACTTTATGATCGTTTTTTTGTCATTTTGTGCATCATATGTGTTTATAAATTACAATTCTTCATTTTTCATCAACTCATCCCATTTCTAAAACAAACACGTTCATCATGAGTATGTTAGATAGCTCATCGTCGGGAGGAGAAGGAGAAATCGAAGAGTACGAGAGGTTTCACCACCTACGGTTGAGTTTAATCGGCCGGAGGCTGGCTGAAGGTTCATCAAGTCGACGTCAAACTACAGACGTCATATTGATCGTGAGAGGTTCGAATGTAATCGTCGTCTTATGAGGGATTAATTCGATCCAAATCCAGTATACAATGCTCGCATATTTAGAAGGCGCTATCGGATGCAACCAAGATTATTCCATCGCATTATGGGCGACATTGTGAGGTTTAACCCCCTATTTGCTCTAAGGTGTGATAGCTTGGGTCAATTATCATTATCTCCAGAGCAGAAGCTTACTGGTGCGATGCGCATGCTAGCATATGGTTCTCCAGCTGATCAACTTGACGAGTATGTTCGTATGGGTGAGAGCACTTTGATGGAGGTCTTCAGAAAGTTCTGCAACAACATTATCAACATGTACGGGGCCACATATCTTCGCGCACCTACTCCTGCCGATTTAAGGATCTTACTCAGTAAAGCCTCAAGACGTGGCTTTCCTGGAATGATTGGATCAATTGACTCCATGCATTGGGAATGGAGGAATTGTCCAAGTGGCTGGGCAGGACAATACATCGGCCACATGCATAGGCCAACAATCATTCTAGAGGCGGTGGCCTCCTACAACACATGGATATGGCATGCTTTCTTTGGGTCTCCTGGATCAAACAACGATATAAATGTTCCGGGGATGTCGCCAGTGTTTGATCGTTTTGTCAATGGAAGCGCTCCACATGTACGATTTGAGGTAAATGGTCATGCTTATGATCAATGCTATTATTTGGCTTACGGTATTTATCCCTCATGGTCGACTTTAGTGAAGACCTTCAGCAATCCAAGGTCAAACAAAGAGGTTTTGTTTGCTCAACGTCAAGAAGCACACCGCAAAGACGTAGAGCGGGCATTTGGAATCCTCCAAGCAAGATGGGCAATTGTTCGTGGCAGGGGCGGAGCTAGGATTTAAAGTTCGGGGGGGGGGGAATAACTTTGTAATTTATCGCCAAAATGAAAGAAAAAAAAGTAATATATATAAGTATATAACAATATAACATTAATTTAAATAATTGAAAGCACTCGAAATAGAATTAATTTAAAATTTTCTAGTATGCTATGCTCAAAGTAAATGATTATACTAAGGAAAAAATGTATCATGTAATTTTTTCAATTTTATTATGCATTGAATATGATTTTATTATTATATTAATGTTTATAAAAATTAATTAATTAAATATAAAATGATCCTTGAAGTTCAAGAACTCGAATGAGGTTATTTAAAATTATATGATATATAAGACAAGCAGGAAAATTAAAGGATTGAACTGAAAAAAACACTAATAAAATAGTAAGGTAAAACTGCAGACTACCAGGATTGAACCAGTGACCATGTAGTTGCAAGTAGGTATCACCTCTGCTAGGCTGTAAATCTGCCTGCCTTGGTAACAATTTTTCAATCGGATTGTATCTATATTTACATGAGTTTATACGTAATTTTTGAATTTTCCTACGATCTTATACGTAAGTTTCAAAATTCTCGGGGGGGAGGGGGGGGGGGGGAGGGGGGCCCGAGAACCTACATAGCTCCGCCCCTGGTTCGTGGCCCTGCAAGAGTTTGGGATGTTGTCACACTTAACAATATAATGTTGACGTGCATTATATTACACAACATAATCGAGGATGAGCAAGTTGATTCTGATGATGAGATGGATGATGACCTTGATTATGAGGTCCATGAACAAGCTCAACCAATCAACCGACACGTTCCAACTCTGGTTGATTATTTGGCTAGAAATAATAGGATTCGCTCCTCAACAACACATCATGCGCTTCGAAATGACTTGGTTGAGCATCTTTGGAATTTACAGGGCAATAACTAGTATTGTTTAATTATGGATTGTATTGCTTGTTTCAATATTAATTTTACTTCATGTCGTTTGGTAGTTTGTATTTCAAGTTTCAATAAAGTGTGTCTTGTAGTTAGTCCGAAGATTCAATAACAACTAGTTTTTTTATTACACTTGAAAATGCTCAAAGTTCAAAGAGTACACATAGCACATGAAAACAACAAAGTTTTTTTTTTTTTTTTGAGTAAAAGGAGGCCAAAGCCGCAGAACAGAGACAAGCGGGGGAGGGGAGAGGAAGTTACAGATCGGGAGAAGTACGGGGAACAGTCACAATGTTCCTAGTGAAAGTGATTCCTCTACAATCATCTCCGATAATACTCTGGATCCCCTGTGGTGGCGCCGTTAAAACACACTTACCGTAGGGGTAGACGAGACTGTGCTTCGAGAGCCAGTCCGCAGCTCTATTCCCTTCCCGATACGTGTGAGCTAACTTAACCACCCAGTCTTGGGCGATCCTACGTCTGATAGCGGCAAGAAGAGTAGCATGAGGATGGAGGGGATCAGTTCTTCTGTCGATGAGTTGCAGGGCCATCTGGGAATCAGTCTCGAGAATGAGGGTTCTGCACCCCTGCTGCCAGGCTATGCCCAGCCCGTGGTAAATGCCCCAGAGCTCAGCCAAAATCGCGGAGCACGTCCCCAAGTTGCACACGAAGCCTCCTATCCACCTGCCTTCTGCGTTGCGCAGAATGCCCCCCGCACCCGCAGGGCCTTGATTACCATTAGCCGCTCCATCCACGTTCATCTTGTCCCAGCCTATCGGAGGAGGAATCCAACCAATCTCCGTCGGAGTTCTGTGCGCCGGGGCCTGAATACGCCCTAGGATCAGCCTCGGAGCTGACCAGGCCTTGTACCATATGCTCGCCTTGATCCTGATGGCCTGAAGAAGAGAAGGCGGCGAGAGGGTCTTCTCGATCCCCTTAAAGGCGCCCTCGTTTCTGTTCTTCCAGATGCTCCACAACCCAATGCTAAACACCACGCTCCACGGAATGTCGCCACAGAGATTATCTTCCTTCTTCAGGTTGTTGGACATCCAATTATCCAGATTGCTGCTGAAAAATTCTTGGAGATGCTCCGTCGGGATAAGACGCGACCAAGCATAGGCTGCCGGCGGGCAGTCTCTGAGCACGTGAAGGGGGGTCTCAACCTGGGACAAACACCTGTAGCAGAAGGGAGAGGAGGACAGGTGTCGCTTGGCCCTTAGATCATTGCAGCTGATCTTGCTGTGCGCGACCAGCCACGTAAAGTTCAAATACAACACACAACACACCACGTTAAAGCAATAAATACAATATAGTACACATATGATGTTATGAACAAGAAACACATGACTTTGCAAAAAACTCATTCAAGATTTACTTTAATTTGAAGGATTTAGGATAATGGATTGATTAGTTGTGATTATATGTTATATTATCATATTAGACTAATTCTACCAATTAAAGTTCAAAATTTGATGTATTATGGTCACCATATATGGAAAGGCTCTCGGCCATTTATGGAAAGACTTATATTTTTCCTTTAATTTTTAACAAATGATTTCTCTCTCATTTAAGTTGGAATTTTTTTTGCATAGATAAATCATATTAATTGTGCTCTTAAAAATGATATTCAATTATATATATTTTTGGAACGAATAAATTGAGACATTTATTATCAGTTTATATAATATGGTATTGATTGGTATTAAATAAAAACATATCATATGGTATAAATAACATAATAGTAAGAATATACTAACTGTCATTTACGTTTTTCAACATTGTATACCACACATATACCAGGGTAGTATGAGGTGATATTTTTTGGTCCTGTATTCCCCCCGCCCCAAAAAATTTGTAGATCAAATAGATCATGATGAACTCGTTCCTTCTATGCAAATTTTTTCAAAAAAACATATTGTCAAGCTTTATGTTTTTCCTCTTTTCCTCTGCAAATGTAGTCGCAGCTATAGTTATAGTCTTAGAGCTCCCACTGAACCTTCATAGGGGTAGAGTTAATTTAATATAGATTTATCTCGTAGATCATCAAAAATATCAAAAACCCTTATTTGAATTTTGTTCAAAGAAGTTTGAATCGTGTTTAATAATCATTTGTGTTAAAAAAACAAAGATGCAATTTCATTATTTTCAACTCAAATTTTCTGGCGGCAAAACAACAATACAAGGTACATTAATTTTATCCCAAAGTAAGTTATAGCCTATAGGTACAAATTTTACAATAATAGCATATAGCAAAAAAAAAAAAAATGTAAATTTTGCATGAAGGACACATTACCCACAGGAAACAGAACAATTCCAACAGATATACTCGGTCGTTGGAGTATTTCTTCCTCCCCTTCCCCAGAATATCCTCTCTTCATCACCTTCCCTCCCATCCCTTTCAATCCCAATCCCCGTTACAGCAATAACAACAAGAAGAAGTGCTTGAGCAGCAAAATCAAACTCTTAAGAGGGCGAGCCAGCCCTCCCTCCCTCTTTCCTCCATTATTCCTCCGAGCGCAGATTTGTCAACGCAAAGAAAGGTGGGGGGGAAGAAGAAGACGAGGGGAAATTAATCAATGGAGGGCGGGAGAAATCAATCGAATAGTGGGAATGGGACTGTGAATAATGTTGTTCGATCTGGGTTTCCTCTCAGCTTCTGGGAAGCCGCCGTTGGCGCCTTCGTCATTCTCGGATTCGCGGTGGGTCTCCTCCTCGTTTACCTCACCCTCCCGCCGTCCGATTACAGCTTCCTCAAGCTGCCTCGTAACCTCGAGGAGCTCCAAATCCTCAGGTTTGCGACTTTTCTCCTATCTGGGTTCTGCTGGAAGTTGTTGTCTTTTCGTGAGATTAAGCTAACTGAGAGATCTGGGGTTGTCTTATCAAGAGTGATTAGGGCTGTTTTTCTTGCTTTCATTAGTCGATTGAGATTGTTAGATCGAGAATGCGGTAGTTCAAATGATTGATCAGGGGCAGCAGGGAAGATCATTGTTCTGAATTCTGAGCTTAGCTGTTCATAGTGAATATAGCCACTTTGAACGTTGCAACATTGCTTGCATGTTGTGTTTATGTCAGTTGGTCTCTCTAAATTCTTGATTTTACTAGGATTCTATTGATAGATTGCTCATGTTACTTTCTGATTTGAAGCATGGTGTTGAAGCTATAGCTTCCGAGCTCTGCTTGAAGAGATTGCGTGTTTCCTTTTACAGCTCAGATTGTGCCATCCGTGTTTTGGTCATTGACTCTTTCTGCTTGTTTGACATGTTAAAATGTCTGCCTTTGGTTTGGTGGCAGGGATCACCTTGAGACTTACACCAGTGATTACACGGCACAAGTTCTAGTCGGCTACTGTGTGGTCTATGTCTTCATGCAGACGTTTATGATCCCAGGGACTGTGTTCATGTCGTTGCTGGCCGGAGCCCTCTTTGGGGTTTTCAAAGGTGTAGCTCTGGTGGTGTTCACCGCCACTGCTGGAGCTTCCTCTTGCTTCTTCCTGTCAAAGATCGTTGGCCGCCCTCTGGTCTTCACTCTCTGGCCTGACAAGCTCGTGTTCTTCCAAGAGCAGGTGAGGAAAATCAAATCTATATTAACCGTAGCTGCAGTTGACTATCAAAATCTTTTTTAAGTTGTGGCATGACTGTTTTTTTCTTCTTCTTTTGTTGATTTTCTTGGCAGGTGGCACGTCGAAGGGAGAGATTGTTGAACTACATGCTGTTCTTGAGACTGACTCCTACATTGCCAAACACATTCATCAATGTGGCATCGCCTATTGTAGATGTGCCTTACCACATCTTCTTCCTGGCGACAGTCATTGGGCTCATCCCTGCTGCTTATATCACTGTCAAGGTAACTCTCTTCCTAATTTCGCTTTACCTACGCTCCACTAAACTTTGGGGTCACTAACAAATCAGTTATAAGCTTGGAAACTGATGGTCTAGTGTGTACAATTCGAGTGTTTGTTATATTAGTTATTCTATTTGATGATAAGTTAGATGAAATTCAGAATTCAGTTACCAATTTGTTGTTGACCGTTTATGTAGTAATTGGCACAATGTGCAACTTTCAGGGCATGTATTGAGGTGACACTGTTTCAATGGTTGTATTGTGCACAGGCAGGAATAGCTCTGGCAGAGCTGCAGTCAGTGACGGATCTGTACGACTTCAACTCCATTGCAGCTATGTTCCTCATTGGGGTCGTTTCCATCACCCCCACGCTGATGGGCGGCAACGAACAGAAGAAGAAAGCCGCCAATGCTGCGATCGAATAGCAGATCATGACGACATGATGGTGAGTGTCGTCTGCCTGTGGAAGAACACGAAAGGTGCTTTCAAGGTAAAGGGCATGGTTTCTGTACGTACAGACCAGCACTAGAAGGAAAAGGCGGAAGGGGGCAAAAAATGTACAGCTGATGCTGTTAGATAAAAGCTGAGATGGATGGGCTGACTGTTCGTGATGTTGGAATGTGTAAATTTGAGTGCTTTTGTAAAGTCTGATGGGGAAGAAGGGTGTTCGGCGGAGGGAAGGCGGGAGAGGAAAGGGAGGTGGAAGTGGACATTGTTAAACTTCAATCATGTAAACCGTTGTATAGCTCCCACCTTTTAACTTGTTCTGTAAGGAAATAAGATTTCTTCTTATTTTGTTTCCCATTCGCGCACGTCTTATGATTCTTTTGCCAATTGGATCAACTACTATCCTCTGATCGCAATCCAATAAGCACTCCATCAGTAGTCTCAAATCACTGAAGGAGAGCAATGGAAGACGTAAAAAGGTTATATTGGAAGCAAAATGATCAAACCCTGCGTTCACCAACTAGATGAAAATTATACACTACAATAAAAATGAAGCGTTCAACAAGTTGGTCCCTCGTTTGGAGTCTTGAGAGTGAAGTAGAACTTTTTGATTGTGCAATCAAGAACCACAACGAAACGAGAAATGAAAGTAAACAGGGCCTTAGCTTTCTTCCAGTTGCTGCTATTTGGAGTTCCCATCTTCCTCTTTTTCCCTGTTGCTCTACTTTGGTCAAGTGGTTTTGTGGGCATTTCGGGTTGAATAATGTTCACTTATTTTAACCGGTAAATTTTGGTTAAAATTCTCAACTTGGTGTATGTAGTTCGGTGGGGTTAGAGACTTTGTTAACCAACCATGTCAGTTAACCAGTATAGTATATATTACCTTGTCCTCTTGTCTTGTGCAACGAACGACTGTGCTGAGCAAGGTTGTCAACCCGCAGGTTGACCCGGACCCGGTCGAGCTAGTGAGCCAGGGGTTAATGGGTCACCCGTTTTAGCCCGTTTCAGCCTGGAAATATGAAAAGAGTCATTATAGTATACTTATCCTGATAAATTATATAAAATCTCATCTAACATATGAGTAATAACATATAACATTACACTAGAGTAACATATCGTACTTAGATCCAACATATAGCGAAAATTCACACACACTTATATAACATCAATATTCAAATGTTCGACTAAAGATTCCAAAGATTGAGTTAGGCGAAAAGAAAAATCGGAAAATAGACGCATTTCGCAAACCAAAGAAAAAAATTACACAATTTGACCTCCAACATGATACCTTGTAACGGTCGACCCAGTGGGTATGTGCGACCCGTTTTTCTCATCGAATCAGGGTCAAAATGGGGTCGACCCGCCGGTTGACAACCTGAGTGTTAGATTGACCCGGTCGTCCAACCCGGCGGGTCCTTTTCGTTTCGGTTGCATGAAACTGAAACGAGAACAAAAACGTTACTTTAAGCAGCAGAAAAGGGGGAAACGAAAATATATATCACGAAAACGGTTCAAGGAACTCCAGGAAAAATAATAATAAAAAAAGTTATAAAAGGGAAAAGAACAGAGAGAAGCTCCCCTCCGATTCCTGGTCCAGCTTCAAAATCGAAAGGTGGGAGGCAGAGAGAAATCGGGGCTCCGGCTTTCTCCCAGTTGCATTTGCCGTCTCCGCTCTTTCTCCCGCGAAAGCTGCTGCGCGCCTCCGTTGCCGGCTTTACGCTATCAGAGAATCCAGAAGAGGGACTTCGGAGGCTTTTGACACCGACATTTCTCGTTGCAACCGAATTCCCCCCACACTCGAGATCTACCGTCGTCCCGTCCGGCATTACCGATTTTAGATCCGCCGACGGTACCTGTTTCACATTTTCGCCTGTCGGCCTTTTCTCCTGCACTGTCTGTAATCTTTCAGATCGAACGAGGAAAGTGAATTTCGCAGGAGAAAGGGGAACGCCAGTGGGAGATCGGAGAAGACATCCTCGTCGTCGCCCGAGCGCCGTAGCTGATCTGGATCTGTAACCGCTTCATTTCCCGCCTATTCCGCCGACGCATCTGAGATTCTAGGTATTCTGAGCTGAATTTCAACGTATTGGATGGAATGTGAATGGAAGAGGGGAATTGATTGGTTGTGAATGTGATTTACTTTTATAATCTTCAATTTTAATTAATGGCTTTTGATTTTGTTGTGAATGGCCAGTGGCATTATAACAGATTTGAGGATGTTGACAGATTCGATTGAGGAAATGCTTATTTTTTTGGAACCTCTGTGTAGAACTAGAAGTAGATCTATGGTTGCTTGCATAAGAAGTTTTTTTTATTTGCATTGACATTATTGGCTTCTGGTCTTGTTTTGTGAAAGGAAGGAGTGATCATGGCATCCAGCGATAGCTACACTGACAAGAACGCTGTGTTCAAGAAACTCAAAGCGAAACCTGAGAACAAAGTACGTTTCCCTATGCAATTGCTTGATGGTTCTTTGTTGTTTGATCGTGGATCGGTAATGGTGCTGCCATCACCAGCTTTTCAATATCGGATCTCCTGTTTTGCCATTCTTTTTTTTCTTAAGATGATTCCTTCTTGCAGATGTGCTTTGATTGTAATGCGAAGAATCCTACATGGGCATCTGTAACTTATGGAATCTTCCTGTGCATTGATTGTTCTGCAGTTCATCGTAGCCTGGGCGTGCATCTGACTTTTGTCAGGTAATACCATGCATTGGATGTCCTGTTAAATTGCCCTTATGGTTTATGTCAGTTATGGATTAGTTGGTTGGGGTGTTATGTGGAGAAGAATTTGTTGATGTAGGTCAGTTTTGGGAAGTAAAATGAAACGTGTGGACGATGTTCCCTTTATACCGATACAGACTCACCAAATGTAGATTCTAGGCATGGTCCAGCCATCTCTGATATCTGTTTTCTCATAAACTTGTTTATCATATGTTGTCAGTGAGTCCTGGCACATAGAATATTTGACATACCAAGACTGGGGCATTTCATTAAAGGACATTCTGGTGGTTCTTTTGATTCCTTTTTGTAGCTCATTGATCTTCAAAGGTAGCTCTTGCTCTAATGAAGGAGAAGTTATTTGGCTAGTTTTGATAAAGTATCTGGTGTCCTTTACATCCATAGAAGTTGCAGGTGTAACACACTATTTATTTTATTTGGTAGGTCTACAACATTAGACTCGTGGTCTCCAGAGCAATTGAGAGTGATGGCTTTTGGTGGTAACAATCGGGCACAGGTGTTCTTTAAGCAACATGGCTGGTCTGATGGTGGCGAGGCCAAGTATACATCTAGAGCTGCAGAGTTATATAGGCAAATTTTGTCAAAGGAGGTTGCAAAAAGTATGGCAGAAGATGCAGGCCTGCCATCCTCACCTGTTGCTTCTCAGTCAGCTCAAGGGATTAATGGATTGTCGGTTCCTAAAATTGAATCTTCCAACGGAACTTCAATGGAAAAGCAGGAAATACCTGTGGTAGCTCCTTCTTCAGCCCCTCCTTCAAAGGTCCCTGCTGTAGTTACCACTTCTACTGTCAAGAGGCCTCTTGGGGCGAGGAAAACTGGGAAGTCTGGGGGTCTCGGTGCTAAAAAACTCACAGCAAAGGTGAATATCTTCTCTTTCTTTTTGCCCCTCCTTTTACCTTTATGGTTTAGTTCATAAATTTGCCTAATGCTGTGAGAATTAATCGAATTCATTTTGGTTCGCTTATTACTTATTAGCTAGATCTTTTCCAATAGTAGTTAATCGTTTTCTGAATGCAGTCAAATGAAAGTCTGTATGATCAGAAGCCTGAAGAAGCACCAGTTCCCGCTCCATCTTCTTCGAATAGCACCCTGAAATCTGGGGGTACTGCTTTTACTTCACGTTTCGAGTATGCGGGCGATGTGCAGCCTGTGGATATGCTTTCAGGATCAAAGGGGATTAGCCATGTATCCGCACCAAAGTCATCAAATTTCTTTGATGACTTTGGAATGGATAATGGTTTCTCGAAAAAGGGAACCTCGAATTCTTCAAGAGTGCAAGTAAGTAGTGATTGTACACTATTATACAATGATGAAGTTATGAAACAAGGTTTATGTCATCTCTCAATACATCATGTGGATTGCTCACTTGTTTACACAGCTGTTACCTGCTTGACGTAACCTAAAAGTTTAGATTCCGAATATTAGTTTAGCTCTATTAGATCGTGAAGGGTATCATATTCAATCTAGACGGTTCGGCCTTTGAGACTTTTTGTCTAGCTGTTACCATATTTGTGTGTATGGTTGGGGAACGTTGTTTAGGCCTCAGTTGTCTTGTTAGACGTAGTCTCCGTTGGAGTATTAGAATGACCATATAGTTACTACCAGTGGTAATCTATAGCATGGAATCTCAAATTTCTGTTTGTTGTCAGTGTTTAGGAACTCCTAGATTACCTGCCTAGGAATCTCAAATTTCTGTTTATTGTCATTGTTGCGTGCTCATAAAACCCCAGTGATGCAGAATCTTCCCACTTCCCAGTATGCTACGTCATCAAACATTGACTAGGGAATCAATAAAAGTATGAATGTCACCTCGTTTTTCTCCCACTTAAAGACATCCCCACTCAGAGTTATAGCCCAAACAAACACACGTGCCTTTTCCAATGATCTGATTTAAATTTCTGATCATCTGTTTTTCTAAGCATGATTTGCTGGTAATCCTTGTCTATGGGAGATCGATGTTTAATCTAAGCTGGATATGTTATTTTTGATGTCATCAACATTTAGACTTGGTTCTTCAGGTGTCATATGTTTTAAGAAATATACTTCCAATTATCTTGTCAGATGTTTCAGCTCAGCCATTACATGATTTTATGAATGAACTATCTGCCTGACCTTCTGCTCTGCATAAAATCATATTTTGCTGTTATCAGGTCCAAGAGACTGATGAAGCAAGGAAGAAATTCTCAAATGCCAAATCAATTTCATCGGCCCAATATTTCGGCAATCGGAGCAAGTCAACCGATCTTGATGCTCAAACTTCTTTGCAAAAATTCTCGGTATGTCTGGTTGATTTAGCTCATACAAAATCACTAATTGCAATATGTATATATCTTGAATCTAATTGAGAAGTATATATAAACTCACATTATGTGTAAATTCTCTTCGATCAGCATCCCTTGGGAAGAGATTCTATTTCATTTTTATGAGGGAGGAAGACTTTTTGTTAATATTGAAGTCAAAGTAAAACAAACAAGTGCAAACATGGATCAGTCATATAATTTTGTTTCACAAATAGATTCAGAACTCGAGACCTGTTTGCCCAAGTACCTCTGTTGGACCATAGATATACCTGAGTTTCATGCTGGCACTTCTGATCAACCTTGTACTAGAATGCGCTTGTTTGAGCTTAAATATCCTCGCTG